ATGCAAGCACACACACACACACACACACACACACACACACACACACACACACACACACACACACACACACACTTCCAAATGCATAGCCAAGATAAAGAGGACTCTTTCTTCGGGGATAGAAAAAAGCTACCCTTTGTGTTAAAAGAAGCCTCATATTATTTAACTCATATATTTGAAAACTAAATAAGAAAGTATATAGATCTATATATAGATCTACTAAACGGCCCGTTCCAGTGCAATTTCCATTGCCGCCATTATAATAACACCAAGATTCGCCACTCTAAGTACTAACAACCTTTATTATAAATATTATAGCATCCTCTGTTTCCAGTTAATTCACAGTGACTGGCGGTGAATCAAGGACAATAAAAATAGATCTAGTAATAGAATACCGGGTAGTGACGGTAAGAACATTTTCTTCTCTAAAATGTTATCCTATCGCCTCCTTTCTTGCTCTCTAGCAATGTTCTGTCGTCTACCTTCGTCTCCATTTTCTCCCCTCACCCTTCACCTCCTCTGCCCCTCTGGGCTCCTGACTCTTTCTGTAGCCTTCTTACAGCTACTCCTATCCTTGGCTCGCCTTCTTTCTGCTGTCTTTCAGCCACACCCCTGATTTTCTGGAAGTGCGAGAGCCGTTAAACACTTACCAAATAAAAATAATCATGATAATAAATCTACATCTAATATAAGTATTACCTAAGGCAGACCTTATAGCATTCTGAAACAATCGCAACTTCCAGGGGGGAAACATGCACTGCAAGCTTCTATATTTTTATTGGCGCTAAAACATTTACATACCGGCATACTGACCCAAAAAAGTTGTTGTTTGTGGCCGGGCACCCATTTTCACCTGAGCAAAGTGAGGAAAATTTGGGCAAAGTGTCTTTCTCACGGACACAACGCTGGGCCTGGGCTCGAACCCCCGAATCCGCAACCTCACGATTACGATTGAGTCCGGTTTCCAAAGCACTAGATTTCCGACCCCAGCATAGAGTATACAGGCTTCTGCTGTATTTTGGTCACTGTCTAAGCCCAGCACATAAAGGGTTTGACTTTGTTCCTCCGTTGAAGAATAACTTAATTTCGTTGTCGTTCTGTGTGTCATGGTTTATTGAATTGTTCCTCCTTCAACTCAAGACGGCCCCATCATGCACGGTCGAACAAACCATTTGCCTTTTATATTTATTATTCATACTTTATCATAGGTCTATTATTTATGAGGTGGAAATAAAATTTCACTGCAACTTTAAAGACCCAGGTTTGTCCTTGTAAATCCCTATTTATCTGTTCGTTCCCGGGGAAAAGGGGGTGGGGTATGTCTATAGATACGATGCATATTTAACCTCTTTGATTGACACTCATCTTTGGCAGCATTAAGAAATTTTAATGTAAGCCAATACGTACGGTTGTTGAGAACAATGCACATTAGAAAAGCCAACGGGGGGGGTAAATCCCGTGTCCCGATTTTGGTGCCAATACTTCTTATAGTTACGTGAAAATGTGCTAACACAGTACAAAGTGTTATGCTTCAAGGAAAACAAAACATGAAAAATAAATCATGATGATGATGATGATGAAGATGATGATGGCGATGTACCGATCTTATGTTGCATTGTTGGAAGTGATGTGCAAATTAAACTAGCTGTTAATGTTTTTCTTCGTGTGGTGCTTAAACTCACACGGGGGTCGTTAAAGTGATGACATGATTGGTCATAGGTGAGTTGTATGGCTGCCCTACTTCTTTATCAGAATTTCAAAACAGTTGAAATTAAGGAGTGTGGCCAGTAATCTTTGTAATATTTTAAAAGTCATTACAATTGCGTTCAGTTTTTTTTTAAAGGGAAAAAAAGATGAACAAGTCAAGGATAATTAACGTGTGTATTTTCAGGGTATCGCTCTCTGCATTCGTCACAATGGCACATCGGCTGTGATCGTCGGAGCATGTAGAAAGCCTGAAAAACCCTGCCCAGTCGACCAGAGATCCCAGAATTGGTCGTTTTTCTTAAAATGAAAGCAGCAGCTAACGGAGGTTAAAACAGTCTGGAAGAACCATTGATCATTATACTTCCTCTGACGGGCATCATGATGATTATAATAATAATATTGTGATATAGCAATAATGTCTTTTTCAGTCAGACAAACCAAGGTCGATTATCAACTTCTTTCAGTCTCTCGGACAAGGCACTGACGTCAATGCGGTTCGGTGCTTCGCTGTCGCCCACAGAAGACCCGAGTTCGATTCCCAAGTGGGAAGAGTTTCTATTGAGTGTCTCTGTCTTTCTATGGGATTTAGTGGGTCTACGAGTATCAATACACTACACACCACTCTCGGCCCGGCGTTGCTCTGCACAAGCAGGGTAAAAGCCCGCCTCCCAAACGATCTATAACTGTGTTGATTGGAGTGTAAAACACCTAAATTTGAATTTATATTAAGAAAATCCTTCTTCTTGTTCAAATTCAAGCCTTTGGGTTCCCAAATAAAGAGTATTGCGCTGAGAGGAGTGTTGGCCTCTGCTCTATCTATGCGTTGTGCCACGCCCACGCCCCGCCCTCTCTCTCAGATGTTAAACACTGTCATCCATAGGCTTATATCGGTTTGGCAGACAAGTAAGTAAACATACAAGTTGTACAAAATCGTCGTCATTAAACATAATTTGTTTAAAGTTTTTGCCTTGTTGGCTTTCGTGTGCAAAAGATCTTTGATTAGATCCAAATCTTGTTCATCACGACCCACTTCGCGTCACACTAAGTTTTATTACGTGTCTGGGGATGATCGGGATCGAGGTCAAAGATCATCATGGATCGCAGAGAGGAAATGCCGAATTGGAATAGCTAACTAGTTCGTTGTCACCAACCCTTTTGGGTCAGTAGTTTTTATAGCCCCTGATATTAATGCTTTTTTACTTATGACAATTTATTATGCTACAAATTTCAAAACTAAGGCACTATTTTTATCTCTACATTGAAGTAATAAGATTAGCAAAAGATCTAGGTGAATCGCGAAAAAATCCTGTCTCATGATGGGTTCTTATTCAAGATGGCGTACCACTTCCCTCAGTTGGAACTGAAGGTAGCATCATTCATTCGTGCGTGAAACTCTGTTTTCACTTTTCGTTGATCTATTTCATTTAGTTGGATATGTTTGTACATTATTTTTAAGTTACTGTCTTAAAGCGTTGTATACTTTGTGTGGTTTGTTAGATCTGTTAACATTCCATTCTGGAGTTCTATTTCTTGATCTTACTCTTTCACATCATCCTCATAAATTCATGAGTAATCCAAGACTGCTGTACTGTAACTGTAGTGTATAGGCCAGAGTCAAGAGTTCTAGAGGCTAGAACTAGACTCTAGAATAGTGAATGTCTTAGTTGCCCGGACTGCAATGGTTATTGGAGACTGACTTCAATTTTTTTTCATGCAGTCTGAGTTTACCTAGATCTCAAGAGAAAAATGCCTGAATGTTGACACAAGAACTGAAGTTGAAGTAGACTCGGTGATCTTATACTTTAGCCTAGAACTAAAGTGACTTTAGCAAGTTAAATTCTTCTTTTGACTGTTGAGGACTTCCGAAACGAGTGACCACTATTAGATCTAGATCTAGATCTAGATTCTATATCATCAAGATTATACTCAATGACTTCCAAAATCATGATGGAAGACCGAAAAATACGATCTGTTCATGATGACAAAATTGGCCACCTCTATTCTCACCCGGAGTGAGAATAGTGCAGGCGAGTCTTGTGGCTATTCTCACCCGGTGCGCGTTCACCAAATTTTGCGTTCACCCTAAACCACAGAATTCTACACTGTGATAACAGAAAAATTGTAGAATTCTGTGCCGTGAACAAACGTTCCATTACAACTGTAGCCTACTAAAAGCGTACAATTTTGTCTGTGGGCAGTGGAGAGAGAGAGAGAAAGAGAGAGAGGAGTAGCGCGAGAATTTCCAGGCAAAACAAAATGGCAACCCGCGTAGTTCGGCTCGATTCGAAAAGTTAAATAGCCGTAGCATCTTTGTAGACAACCAAATTAATTTACTTTTGTGTTTTAACATCATTTTTTAACTTTGTTTTGGTCAATTTGATCGTCCACACCGATGGACAGTATTCAGAAAGAGACAGAGAGAGAGAGAAGAGGGGAGGAGTTGATCTTGCGAGAACTTCCGAACGGGTGAGAATAGCCACTTTCGACAAAATTACGGTAGTTTGCGCATTTTTAGGCCCAGTTCAAAGTTGGGGATTAGAAGACTTTGGGAATTTAACGTGCGAAAGTATAAGATCACCGCAGACTCTAGAGTAGAAAAAGTTGAGGCCTAGATCTAGATCTAGATTTCTAGAGATTGTTAGATCTAGAATCTAGATCTAGATCTACATAATATATCTAGATGTAATTATATCTTAGATCTAGATCTAGATTTAGATCATCTACATCTAGATCTAGATCTAGAATTTATTTCCAGTCGGTGTTAGGGTTAGGGCTGGGGATAGGGGTAGAGGTGTTGTTGGTCGGCGGCCCTCTGCGGAACTCCTACTTCTCCTATCAAGATTTTATTAAGACTTTAAGTGTTTTAAAATGTAGTCAGCATGGCATACACAACAATGCCACAACAACGGCCTCCTTCGTGTGAATATTTCCCTTCGCTTTCTCATTTTCTTCCATTTATTTGTTAATTCTCCTTAGAAAAAGAAAAATATTGTGATGACAAAGCCTACCTTCAACAAAACAGACTGCGTTCATCTCTTACTCTATGTCATCATTGCCTTTCTCACCCTTGATTTTGGGTGCCACGAACAAACACTGCCTTAAGTCTAGACAAATTGGACTTTCTCACCAATATTTCTGCTGGGCTAACCATTTATTAATCTTGCAAAAAGATTGAATAAAAGTACTGCGCAAGTTGTAAATGCAGTGGCACTAACCGCGCTTCCTTTTTTTTTCCGAATTGCAAGTTCTTTGTGTGTGTTTTTAATTGCCCTTTAACTTTACTGTGATCTCCAATGATGACCCCAGGAGTATTGAGTATTGGAATTTTGATAGATAGTAACTGGATGGAAAAGAGAAAGGATGAATAGAAGGCCTAAGATTTTCAGGGTTAGGCTAAAAAGAAAGGGTCAAGAAGACGAGTGTAGGGGTAGGAAAGTGGTTGTTGGGGCCAAAACTGTATTTTCATTTTTAAAAACACTCACTGTCTCATCATTATAATTAACTCTATCTGTACAAAATTGCAGTAGTGTTGGACTGCTGGTTTTCTGTTGCAAAGGATCCGTACTTCCCTGTGTTGGATAAGTTCAGTCTAATTACAGTAGCTCCTGTAGTACTTTTAAAGTTTTAAAAAAATTTATTAAAATTAGGTACCTTCCAGATTGCACACTTTGTACTTTGTACATTCGGCCATTGTCCTTCCATTTCAGGTCTGTCCCAATTCGTCACTTGTTGCAAATTGGCCAAAATCTGGTTCACAATAGCAAAAGTGTCCTCTTACTTACTTTCTTTCATTCGCTTAAATTCTGCCTGTCTATCTTTTGATTTTCGCCGCAGCTGGAAAATTAAATGTGGAAGTGATGCTCTGTAGATGTGTATAGGACGTTCAAACGCAAAAATGGAGGAAAATTTAATTAGGGTACACATTAGGTGATAGTATTGTCAAGATTAATTTCTGTATTTGCCTACTGTAAAGTCAATGACAATGGTGCAAGCAGCGATGACAAACTCAATATAATAGTGGCAATGGGAAGGGGAACTTGCTTTTAAACGTTGCCAGCAAAGAGAAAGAAATTAGTGAAGAAATCAGATAAAACTGTTACAACATGACATGACAAACTCTTGGTGAATAAATGGGTACATTATTTTATTTTTTAAAGGCTGCTGGCAATTTCGACAAACAAGCTCTCAATGCCATTAGAGCTCTTTCAAAGGCTGAAAAAGATTTTTTTTAGATCCCCTGTCCCAGACCCCAAGCATAGAATTTACTTACTTTTATGCTTTGTTTAATCATGAAAAATGGTGTTGGGGGGGGGGGGTATAATTGAGAGTTAAAAAGCTGAGGAATATAAAATATGTGAGGCATCATGGTGAAATCAGGCGCTTGTCAAAATAATGAAATGGAAGAAACTGGCTTTTTTCTGCCAACTTTTTGACTCACACCTTGTATGTCCATATAAAAACATGTTTCCATGTGAATTTTTACTGAAAAATGTTCAGTTTTCAAAGAATGGAAAGCTATTGAAGTTACCAAACTTTGGCCGCCGTTTTCTCGCCAATTTTACCACTGAAACCAGGCGACCCCCTCCTTCAATCCCAAGCATCTTGACTTCTATTCAAGATAGATGCGTACTTTTTTCATAGACAGCAAGGCAAATGAATAAGCTTTCAGATCATACCAAAACTCCACATGCCCAAAAATTGATGAGCGCCTGATTCCACCACGTCATGACACTCATTTATACTATAGAACAAGCTTCGCAGTGCTGTGTGTAAAAAATTTTAAGATGTTCAATGTTCAAGTTTTTTCTAGTAATAAATTTGGGACTCCTTAACGACAGTGTGTGGTAGCATAAGTATGATATTGATGTGTTTTGGATCTAGATGTTTAAACTTGCTTTCATGTTTCACCCAATGTTCACCCATACACATACTTGTTAGCATTGTATTGCATTTATATTGAATTTCTCTGTGTGATGGGGAACTCTATCATTCTCAGAATATTATGTACATGTGCATTATAATAGGATGGGAGAGGGTGGTTGAAATGCACCTCTTTGATCTTTCGAACTGTCATTCTTTTTTACACCCTTCAGATTAATTTTCAATTGAGCTTTGATTTTACTACATCAATCAATATGACCAGTATTATATGATGATGATGTGAGCTCTTTTTTTACTGGCAGGGTTTGTTTGTGAGGGCTTTGGACTCTGTTTCTGTTTGTGTCATGTATTCATTTTCTTGGTTCTGTCTTCTATAGTTTGAGTTTTAGTAAGAGTTTATGACACTTTCTATTCAATAAGATCAGATATATTTTAGTGCTGAAGATTTGAGGTATTATAAGGAAGTCAAGCATGAAAAAGGAGGATGATATTTTAATAGAAAAGAAGGGGTAACCGGCAAATCATACTTGAGCACCTCTATTCACCCCCTTTCTACTTTCTGTCTTCATCATAAGTTTCCCCTCTTATATTGAACATTTATTAATGTGTTTCTTAATCTTAGGTGCTTGTCTGTTTTACTCATATTGCTCAGGGTGATTTTCATGGCGTAATGGACTATGATATATATATATATATATGCACATGAGTGAATGGGCAGCTTTCAGCATAGTGTTGTCAACAATTTCAACAACAAAATGGTTGACATGACAGTTGTTTGATAATTTTTATAATACAGTGTGATGGAAAAATCTGGGTATTCATGTTGAGCTTGCAAATATATCTTTTTTATAATGCATGTATTGTATTTTTAAGCTAATCTAATATGATATCTAGGTTGTTTTCCTTCTTGTCTTCTCCTATTATACAGTATTGAAAGGACAGTTACTGTGTCAAGTTGTGATCTATTTGGGGCAATTACCATTCTGTGTGTGATCACCCTGAGATTTTTCAGATGCGTATCTCACTTTCAGTGTGCTATCTATTCAGGTTTGTGCTTGAGAAGATTGGTTTTCAAGATAAGACGTGTACACCATCTGTTAAATACACGTGAAAGCTGTCATCCCAGGAGACTGTTATACGTGGGATTTAACAGTTATCAGTTTACAGATTGACTGTTATCAGTTGACTATCAGCTGCAGGCACGGGTGACGTGTTTCAATCTATCAACTTTTCACCTTAGTGGAATAAGGCTCTCTTTCTCCTTTCAGTATACATGTTAATGGAAAGTGAAATATCCTGTAATGCTGATAACAAGGACGGTCAATTGTTATCTGATTTAACCTTGGATGTTCTCATTCATGATACTCCCCAGCTGACCAAAGTAAAGATTGTGTTGGTCTATTTATGGCACAGCATTGTCCAAAATAAGTGCTCTCTGACAATTTGTGTCACCGATATCGATAACAACTAGGGGATTCATAAAGTGATTTTTACAACTGAGATTAGGCCTGTTATTATTCCCAGTACTTTTGGTGACTTTTTTTTGTGTGTTGAAAGAGTTTGGCGATTCATGTGATACTCTTGAAATATTTGATTTTAGTAGCAAAATGTAACATATGTTGGAGTTATTTTTATCACTTTTACATGTGCTTCTACCTACCGCCACTCATTATAGATTAGTTATAGACCGTAACATGTAGAGGGGAAAAGTGCAGATTGTGTGGAGGTTTTTGAAATTGATCATTTTTTTAAGAAATGGATGCTTTACTTCTGACAACTTTGCCCTGTGACCTTTCTGCTAATAATCAGTCATGTAGGCTGGCTGTTTTCATTGTTGTGTGACCAAGACAGTAAATATTTCAGGAATAGTTTAAAAGAAATTTCAATTTCTACAGAGAATTGTCATGCGATTCACATTTTTGCTGAGAATGGTTTGATGCTAGGGAGTTTCTTCTGCTAGTTTGAAAAAGTGGGGCAAGGTGTGTCACAGTTTCTGCTGACAACCCAAGAATATAAGGGGCTGAAAAAGTCTATACTACTCTCTCCACAATCATATGATAGTCGGGCATACCAGATGATCAGAAGTGTCAGAAAACTTTTTTGTTAACCAAAACTGTTTTGTTTTCACGAGACCAATTATTGACGGGACAGTTGACAAACAGATGCCTGCGTCATGTTGTACTCAAAAAAGGTTTTTGCATTGTATTTTTTGCAGGGGACGCCCAGAAATCAAGGACTGTAACAGTTGATTCCACCAGCAGCTGAGTTGGACTGTCTATAGCCCTGTTGTACAGCGAGTTCTTTGTTCCTAGAGACGATTTACATCATGTAACCGCTACTATGGTACTGTCTCCCTCTGATGTATGTGTGATGGTGGCCACAAGTAAAAGAATTCGTGGGATAACATGGCAGTGAGATGGACGTGAAAGAGGCTAAGCTTTCCTCGCTCCCTCATCCTCATCATCATCATCACCACACATCCGACATACAAGTTCACTCTTCTGCTCAACACAGCCATCAGAATTCAGTGAGCACAGGTCCCCGCACGTTGAGCGTTACTCCATATTTGCCCCATCTCGTTCACACTGGCAAACCCATTCCTTACTTGGCTGACCTAGAGGTGAATGGGAACTACACGGAGAACCCTGAGTTAAAAATGCCGGGCCATCATAGCTGTAGGTGTGAGATTGACGACGGTGTGACCGGGAGCTGCCCCGAACGTCTGGACCCGGACGCTCTAGAGAATTTGGAGAATATCTCTGGGCTGCCGTATGTCGTCACAGACGGAGCACTGAGGTCGTTGTCCTTTTGTCAGAAGTGCAGCAGCAAGCCTCATCACGTCACGTTTCAGATGGGTAACTCGTCAGAGGTGATCAGCCAGAAGCGTGAGGTGGTAGGGGGAAGACACGCGGGTGGGAGCTACGATGGGGGGCTGGAGAGGATCCTGGAGGATCAGGTGTACCAGACGGGGACATCGGTTCCTGGTCAACCTCTCCCTTCTCACATACTGGAGAGAAGCCTTTCCTATTCTTGTGTGGAGAAATCAAACAGCCAGGAGATTATGAGTGATGCGTATCACATATCACAGGCAGAGAAAGATGTGGAAAGGACAGGTGCCAATAGTGTTGGAAGTGGTACGGAATTATTGCAGAATGTCATGCAGAATGATGCGGCTGATCATCCCCAGATAACTCTGACTTCAGAAGACTTGCCTGATACAAATAAAGATGCTTCGGCAACGAGTGAAGCAAATAGTGGGTCTGACGAAGATTCGGGGGCAAATTCCTCCCAGAATGCTTCTGCTGGTGCTACTGGGACAGATTTGGAGCAATTATCAGACACAAAAGCTGCTCAAGGTATCGAAAAGTCGTCTCATCCAAGACCTTTGGACTCTCGCTCGCTCTGTCTTCCACTGCCATTCCGATTCCTCAGGAACTCGGGTTCCTCATCTAAAGATAGAAATCTCAGTGACAAGCCCCCAGCGGGTCCCACGCCCTCTCAGCGAGGCAAGGGTCGCCCTCCGCCTAGACAATCTTGGCTGCTCAGACTCTTCGAGTCAAAGATGTTTGACATGAACATTGCCATTACATATTTGTACAATTCTAAAGAACCAGGGGTGCAGACGTATATAGGTAAGTTGGAGAGTGGAAGAACAAAGTTTTTGTTGTTGTAATACTTTTATTGCTGTTCTGCTGTCTTAGTTTTGATTGGTTGGTTGGGGGGGAGGGGGGGATGGAGAAGAGGGCATGGCAATGAGGATACTTGCATAAAATTATAGCTCATCCTTCAATGTCTGACGATGACCAATACATCCATGTAGAGGAGAATATTTCTCCAGCGAAATAGAAGAATTTGAAGGATTAAAGGTTAATATGACTTGTGGCTTCTGCTGTGATTCTGGCAGAGAAAAGTTTGCCACATTCTGAATTTAAAAGCTCCACTTACTCTTTTGTCGATTGTGCAGCTTGCGGACTTCTCTCTTGGTTTCTACATTTCTTATTCATGAAGCCTCATATATAATTTGCTTCCCACTGTGACTGGGTCTATCAGGAGCTAGGCTCTCCCATTTTATCGAAGTATTTATGTTGAAAGTCCTTCAGAGATATTTTCAGGGTGTCCTTCTAATTAATGCTTTTTTGGCGCTCCAACCTTACACTTCCCTGGGGGTATTCTCGTGGCCTGGAGGTTAACTGTTATCTCCGGCAAGCCGCTCCCAGCGGCTCGCGGTTGGAACCAGTGTGCCGATGAGCGGCTGACAGTGGCTTGGGCACATTCCTTTACTTTACGACGACTTCGACATCAAATTACTTCTTGCCATTTGCCAAAAACAGGTCTCTTATACCGGAAGTTCATTCATTAGATGAAGAACTATCCAAATAGGTTTGCTAGTTTCGATTTAATAACCCATGTAATGACGTTTTTGTCATTTTTAGGTTTAGCACCCAAAATTGGCCCGACATTGTGAGTTTACCCCCCTTCGGAGATAAAGAGTTATGGTGTTCGTCTCTCATCGAAAGGTTCAAATCCGGGTAGCGATTGAAAAATTTTCTTCCCTAAAATTGTCTCCTTTCACCTCTTTTCCTGCTCTCTAACAATGTTCTGTCATCTGCTTTTGTCTCCACTTTCTGCCCCCTCCTCCTTTGCCCCCTCCTCTGGGCTCCTGACTCTTTCTGCAGCCTTTTACTGCTACTCTTTGGCTCCTTTTTGCTGCTGTCTTTCACCCACATCCCTGATCTTCTGATAAAAAAGATCTACACCTAGCCTTCTCGGACAAGGGCGAAAAAATCTCAGAGGTCCCGTATGCAAGTTACGAACGTTAAAGATCCCTTGGTAGTCTAAAATCGATAAGGGTAGGTTTCAGCTGTCACCCGAGCAAAATTCAAAATGTCCTACCAACTGAAAATGTTTAATGTGTCCCACGTGTTCATATATGACCTTATGCAGTTGCGAGCATCATAAAACACTTACCAAAAAGAAAAAAAGCTTCCCTGTGGACAGTTCAGAATAGAGTACTGCCCCTGGGATTCGGTTGTTGTTGTGGCATTTAGGACTGGGGTGTCTGTGGACTGCCTGCCCACCCTGAGAAGGGACCATGCACGTTGAGGATAGGGGGGTACAAGGGTTTTCATGAGGCTGGAAATTTAATACCTAACTGCCCTGTGACCGTGTAATTCAGGTAGGGTTCATGTTGCCCATTCCCCGCCACCAATGGCTACTGGCTATAGTTGTCTATTCTTGCATGAGGTTTCGGCCAAGTGAGAAAACCATTGGATCGTCAGGTCCTGGGTCGTTGTGCCTTTACTAAGAGGTCCACGGTCAGAAGGCAAGTCAGGCACTCCACTCGATCCATCCTTGCATCCAGACCCCCCCAGACTGGCTGGTTCCTTCTCAGCCACAGAGGGTGTGTTGATAAAGAGCAGTAGAGGTGTTAGGCAGATTAGACACCCACTTAAGGGAGAGATGGGGTGTGTTAGTGAGGAGCATGCGTCTACCACGCATCGATTGGTTCTGCCTCCTGCACCTTGTGGGGCCACACATGCTCCCATCCTGTTGTTTTAACCCCTTTTAGGAAATGGGGGGGTTGGTTTGTTGGCGCCAACAACTCGCCAGAGCCCTGTCAGTTGAAACAGGGACCGCCACGGGCAGGATTGGGAGAAGCTGTTTTAGACAGTTAGGCATTTCTCAATATTTAAATGAGACCCATCACCAGTCCTTGGCCCCCTAGGATTTGGAAATCAGGCTTTCTTACAACATTGCTAGCACGGCAAAGTTAAGACCTTTCGAGCTTAGAAAACAAGACTCGGCAGTTTTGCCCTTTTGAGAAGGTTGGCGTCTAGTATTTTATCCTGCCACTTGCATCATGTATGTATGTAGTATAGGGTTTTACGGCGCTCGCAACTGCTAAGGTCATATGAGCGCGCGAAACACAAGTTGTTTACTTTCGCAAATGTTCGCAGCACGATTGGTCAACTAATTTACTTTAAAATGCTAAAATGTTAAAATATTAAAATTCAGTGTAAATATATTTGTGATTTAAAACAACTCTTATAGGTAACAATAAAAATGTTAAATGGTACGTTTTCATTTTCTTTTTACAACTTGCCATAAAGGCCAATGGCCTTTATAAAATTCAAAATTCTGCTGGGAACAACGACGGATACACTTGCATCAATACATTAAACATATTTTTTGTCGTACGCGTATTTCCTTCCTTTCATTTCATTGTTGTTTCCTCTGACTTAATTGCAGTCACTGCTAAGAATATATGTGTCCCGATGTGGTGGAATCAGGCGCTCGTCAGTATTTGGACATGTGAAGTTATAGGTATCCTTTTTAAGCTTGTTCATTTGTCTTGCTTTCGGTGAAACAAAATACTCATATATATCATGGATAGAAGTTGAAATATATGCGATTGAAGGAGATTGGGGTCGCCAGGTTCCAGAAGTAAAATTAACGAAAAAATGGTCCCCAAAGTTTGGCGACTTTCAAAGCTTGAGAGTTCTTAGAAACTGCAAATTTGCAGTTTTGTGTCTTAAATCAATATTTTTCAGTAAAATCCACACAGAAATAATGGGTTCATCTACCTTAAAGATGTTGAGTAAATAAAATAAAAGAATTGGATAAAAATTGCCATACGGACATAAAACTGCCATTTTCTTCGATTTCATTATTTTGACGAGCGCCTGATTTCACTACATTGCCTCACATTTGTCATTTTCGAAATGAAAAAATTATGCACTTTTCGAAACATGTGACAGGTTGTACGGTTGTTAGATCTGCTTTTCTTTTCCTTCTTTTGCAAAAGGTGCCAGACAGTCATCTTGTAGGTGGTTAGCCGAGGCTCTGGTGCTGTTTTCTCATTCTTCCCCAGCGAACATCTATGGTCCTCCTCTCTCCTCCTTTTCTTTGTATGTTACTTACTAGTAACACTTCTAATCTTCAGCTCTTATATGACCTATTTCTATAACAATGGTGTAAGACTCTTGCTAATACTGAATAAAAACCTTTGAAATAGCTATGTGGTGGAAAAAGAAATTGTGTTGGCCAGTCAAGGAGCAAATGTGAGATGAGTTTGGAGGTAATTGCAGTAGTACCACACTTGTAGAACTCTGCGTCATGAAGACTCATTACACATATGATTAGGTTTCTGTGCTTCGAGGTACCTTTTTTTTCTCTTCTTCTTTTGGAAATGTGGGTGTTAAATTTTAGATCCTCCATCCTGAACACTTTTTTGGCGCAGGTAAACATAATATGCCACATCAAGCAAAGATACATGAACAATGAAGATTTAAGCCTCATCCCTGTTTTTATAATCATTTTACTCAAGGTTCTTGTTGTGGCCTGATTTGAAAGTGACAAAGGGCTGTTGGCGAACACTCGAGGGCGAACAGCTCCTTCTTCTCAGTGTTACTAACTGTTCTAGTGGGAGAGCCTCACTCCTGACAGACCCTGTTGGGGAGAAAAGTGGCACTCATTTGAAGTTTCACAAATTAAAAATACTGAGGCCTAAAGAGAAACCCACAAGCTGCAGACATCCGCATGTGGAAATGAAGCTTTCAATTTTTTTAATGGGGGCAAACTCTTCACTTGAATTGATCTCATTGGCTATATCATGTAGCAGAAGCCACAAATCATCAATATTTATTTCCTCTCTCAATTTCTCTCCACTAATTATTCTCCTTTGCAGAGGTACGGGTCATTGTCGACTATTGCGGGTAAACTATTATTGTTACTGTCCTAATCTGTTCCTAGCAACATGTGGCAGTGGCTGTCATTGTTATTGTAGCAACTTGTAGCAAACTCGTTATAATTTCCAACTGATCCGCTATTAATTATGCAGATTTCAATAATGATAACATAATTAATAGTTCATCTGTCAATATCTAATGATGACCAATGCATCTGCAGGGGTAGGCTGTTTCCACAAAATACAAAAAGAAATAGATTAAGCAGACTTGTAAGTGGCTTCCGTCTTGTGGCCAATGAGGCCAATTCTGGCAGAGAAGAGTGTGCTACATTTAGAGCATTATAAAACTTAATTTTCCACTTGTGGATGAGCACAGGGTAAAAGCTTCTCCCTTGGTTACAGCATTTTGAAACTGAAGCCTCATGTGCAGCTTTTAATGACTTTGTATTGTTTTTGTTTTGCTGGAACTTTGCTGACCAAACTAGCATTCGTTTGCTCCCTTCTCAAGACTTAAGTGTGTACTCCAGCTCAACACTTTTCTTAGATCTGATGTCATGGGTGTGCAGACAGTTTTGAACAATGTTATCCTTCATCATTGTTGTTTCTTTGTTTGTATGGAGGAGTCAGATTATGTTATTACTCTTGTCATCACCTTTATTATCATTATCACATCATCATCCATTATTTTTGTCAACAAGAGTTATAATGTCTGTACTGTACTTTTTAAAATAAAATCCTACTTTTTATTATCATTACTACAGTACTTTTATTCCTTAATTCCATGATTATCGATTGTTTTGATTATTGACCTCATAGTTATCATCATCTAACTTTTTATTCTTGTGTAATGATTGCAGAATGCAGTTTACCCAACTAATTGCTTACACCGTACATGTTTCATTTCTGTTTTAGGAAATCGAATGTTCAGCTTTGATGACCGAGAGGTTGACTTCTACCTGCCCCAACTGTTAAATATGTACATTCACATGCATGATGTTGCTGAGGCAATTCACCCATATCTAGTCCATAGGTGAGTCGGTTTTATGGCATAGGAAATTTCTCACTCTCTCACGATTGTTCTGACATTTGACATTGAAAATCTGTAAAAGTCCACTTGAGCTCTCCATTTATGCACACATTGAGTCTCCACTCTTTGTGGGGCTTCATGTTGCTTGCCATGACATCGTGCAGGAAATAAACTTAAAACTTTTTGTATGAATGGGGAACTCAAGTGAACTTTTACTTAAAGATATAATATCTATTTTCTATCAAAAACATGTTTACTGTCACAGATTGAGAAAAAGCAGAAAGACTTTGAAATTTTAAAAAATTCTGTTCGGATTGCCTAACATCAATAACATTGATATATTTATGGAATTCCTATATTTATACTAAGTGTAGGGATTTGATAGCTAACAAATATAGAAAGAAGTAAACATTTTCTTTAAGTGGAATGTCCATTTAGTCGTGGTTTGCCTATAGAGTTCAGTCAACAATGAAACAGTATTGATCGGATGTGTTTGAGCTCAGCAGCGAACCTAGCAAAGCCTATGCCACCAACTACAGTAATAGATACCTTCAGTTTTATAATATGTGTGAGAAGGGAAAAAGAGTTAAGGCTTCCTAATTGTTTTAGAAATATAATGAAAGCTTTTCATGTATTCAGCTGAACTGATTTTTTTATTAAGTCGCAAATTTTTAAAAATGTTGTATTAATATAATGCTTGTTTTATTCTGGGATTGTATGGAAATGTTTTATACTCCATGGTATCTGCTTTGTGTCTATCTTTAAAAATATGTTTCATATTTTTTGTTATTGTAAATAATATGATTGGATTTTTTTTTTCTTTGCTTTTTCAATTCTGTAAAGCATTGTCTGAAAATAAAACATTTGGAAATTTGGAAAAGGGACTTTTTGATCATGTTTTCTTTATCGTTTCTGATGTATATTTATTTTTGTGATTCAGGTGTCGTAACTCGATAGAGTTCTCTGTCAACGCTGCCTGGTTGCTAAGTGCGTACGCCGCAGACACGCTCAAACCCAACTGGAAGAACTCCCAGGGCATCAAGCTGAGGGACATGATACTGAACGAGGAGTTAAGGTCAGAGGGCATCAGTATCTGTGCAGCGCACATCATGTATATTGCAAATAGTGTCAGTTTTATCTTGTTGACATTTGTTGTATTAAATGCCAAATAATACAACTGAATCCAGGGAGACTGGCAGTTGTTAATGTGGGGGTGTTTTTTTTTTTTAAAGAAATATAAGACAATTAGACGTGTTTTTCTCAAGAATTAATTTTTAATTTTCGCACTTTGATCTACACAACCTACAATATCTTCAATTGTATTCAATATTCCCTTCTCTTAAATAACGTAAATTGTGTCAAAGTTGGAGCGGAAACTCAAACTATACCATGCATTTGGGGGTTCTGCCTTTTAATTGTCATAAATTGCATCAAACGGAAAGTAAAACTTGGCAAATATTCAAGCTTTCTCCTCCCGGACATGCAAAAGAAGGGTAAAACTCTGTGAATATTCAAGTTTTCTCCTCCCGGACAGGCCACAACCCCAAACGCTGAGTCCTGGAGCGGGCCCTCAACCCTCTCCCGGGCGCCACATTCCCTCACACCGCCAGCGGACGACCTCATCGTCGGCGGGAGCAGGAGACATCGCAGGGGCCGGAAGTGGCTCCCCCACAGCTCTGGGGTTGTACCCCATCCCAGGGGGCAGCACCCTCAGTCCGACGTCGGCCGCGCTGGCTCTCTTGACGACTACTCCGCAGCTGTGTCAGGCAACGGCCTCGTCGGTGGTGAAGAAAACTCACCAGAGGTCGCGATCTGATGCGACAGGTTGGTTGGGAGTTTTTTACCTGTTTCATGCTGTCCGGGAATGGGAAATTGTTGCCATATTTTATGTGACTGAGTTTGAATTTAAACAATTTTTTTTTTTCATGTTTTGAAAAATCCTCAAAATTATCCATATCCTGACTGGAAAGTTCTGTTATCAATAATTTCTCTTATCAAGATCTCATTGTTCATCTTCAAAATGAAAAAAAGTTGCTACTCCATGCTTCGGTTAACCCAGTTCACCCTAGATGACTTAGGTAGTGGGCTTATCTCTACCCGGCGCAAGCGGGAGTATAACATAGGTCCTTACTTGTGTTTGTTACTTTCTTGTAACATCTGTAATCTTCAACACTAATATGACTTTATTGTGGTGCAAGTGCCATAAAACAAACTAAAACAAAAAAACAACAAAAAAACCTACTGACAAATGACTGTCCTCGAACTGTTACAGGTTTGCTGATGAAGCATAGCGAGACCCAGCCCATTCTGGTGTCCAACGTGCTGGCTGTCGGGGACCTGTCGTCGGGCCGGGCGTTCGACAATGGCTGTCAGTGCTACCAGAAGTCAGAGGCGGTGCTGAACGACCTGAAGGGCCGAGAAACGCTTTGCCAGTGCGATGTGAGTGGGGCATGACTTTTGATTCCAATGGCTCTCTCTTGTCATAGTAATAATAATAATAATTGCGTTTGTTTAGCATGTATCCACACTCAACAGCATGCTCTATGTGCTTTACAATTATTATTATTCTTATTACCCCAGCAGACCATAGAACACTCAGAAACATTCTCGGCTTCCCTGGAAGCTTACAGTGCAAGCTGTGATATGTATGCACTCAGACACTAACAAACTGACAAGATCTTTAGTTGTCTATAGCCGGGTACCCATTCCCACCTGGATGAAGTGAGGAAAATGCATGTAAAGTGCTTTTGCCAAGGACACAATGTCGGGTCAATGGCAGGATGTGCTGCCCTTGCCTGTGAACTTGGTTAGTATGCTGAACTTTACCTTAACGGGGGGGGGGGGGGGGGGGGGGGGGGGGGGGACTGATGTCTTAGACCAGTGGTTCTTCTTAACCTAAGTTCAATGGGCGAGTCCGTGTCAGGGTTTTGGCAGAGGTCAAGACACACACACAATGTGTTTTTTTCTCTCAACTCAAAGATTCAGTGATTGCCCATATGAAACTTGTGGGTTAATATCGCCAACAAGAAGAATAACCACTGATAATGTGAATTTTCCTACCAAGGGCTTGCTTAAAAACCCCCAAGTTAAATACTTTTTTGTCTGTGGAAGAGAGGTCCTTATTGGGAAATTTGGGTAGGACAGTATTAACATTTTATCCGTAGTGAAAGATTACTTATATTGCACATGGAGTAACACAGAATATGAAGGCATACAATACATACACCCGTAATCTGGTCACTGCAGTCTATCTGTCTAGATAGGGTGTAACATTGTGGGTTTGGCCTGGGAATACACCCCATTGACTTTGTAAAATATCATTTTAGGCCTGAGCTCACTAACCACTCGATCACAAGTCGTACGGAAAGCTATTTTGAAAAACTCTTCATGTAATGTGTAATAATGCAGACAGGACTACTTTAAAATTGTTGAGATGAAATGATATCACTATATAGCCCAGTCAAGTTTTGTATTCCTTCTTTTTTGCGTTTGCATCTTTCTGTGCTCTTTAACTTTTCATATATGTATTTTTCGTTACGCAACAGGCTCCGAGATTATTACCCCAGGAAGAATTCATCAAATCCTTGCTCAGCATCGGCAAAAAGTTACAAGAGCTGCCTACCAAGGAACATAGAAGTAAGTGAGGGTTGCTGTGGTGGGAAGATTTCCGCTTCTTTCATTCTGTACCAGCAGTGTAAAAAAAATGTTGTACAGTAAGTTTCCGTAAAATGAAATGGTGAAATGGTTTGGGCTTTACGCCCCTATCAACACTTACTGTTTTTCAAGAGGCAGGACCTCCGAGTTTAACGTCTATCCCCCAAAGGATCAAGCCAGTTGGGAAAATTGTGTAAAGGAAGTTTCTGTTGGTGTGTTTGTAATGAATGTTTTGCCAAAATACAGCTATGAGGAGCACTAAGAAGTATAGCTGCGTGTCATCCCAAGGTATGTGTGTGTGTGCCTGTTTGTGCATGTTCGTGTGTGTTTGTGAATGTGCTTGCATGCATAGTCTCCCGCATTAGTCAGCATTTGCAGTTGGTGCTGGCTAATAGCTATTTTCTACAATGTACTGGAGAAATTCTCAGATCAGAGCAGAAGCTGTTCTCGGAAACAAAATGATCATTCTCTTTACAGAGCAGAAATTCTCAACAAAGCAGAATGATCTAGATTGTGTCAGTGGGTAGGTGAAGCATTTACAATCAATCTCTCTACTGGTCCATTACTCAGCTACGTGGTTTTTGAGCCTCAGGTGGTGGTCAGCTCCAACCACTTCTTTTCTGGCTTTCAGCTGTCTTAAGCTGTTGTTAGTAAATTTTGGCCATTTTCATGCACATCTGACCAACCTGTCCCTATTTTTGGCACTACATAGAGGAACTCATTTCTTTTCACGGATAATGGAGGATGCCACTGGTTGGCCCTTCTTCTTTATTTTACTTTCAGATGCTTCCGTCTGCCTACCCTGCTTTTTCCCTTTCTTCAAATGGCTGTTATTGTTATTGTATCGACAATGTGCTTCTCTGTTCTTGACACCCTCATTCCATTCTCCTCCCCAACAGCGGCTCAGCTGATTGCAGAGCTAGCCTTGATCAACCTGAACCTCCCATCCCGCGTGTGGCTGCCCATCTCACATTTCCGCAAGCATCACGTGGTTCGCATCCCAAACACTCAAGCTGTTGTGCTCAACTCCAAGGAGAAGGTAAGTGCTGGCTGCTAAGTTGTGTAAGGCAGTGCCTTGCTGAATGAGAATGTTGTGTTTGTGTCGTGCCAGTTAAGTTTTTCATTCATCTCTGTAACCTCCTCTGGCCCCATTCCCGATTTATATGTAACAGTAAGTATATATCATGCCTGTAGGGCCTTGATTATTAGTCCCTTTTTCCTGTCCCTATCTCTATATGACAGTAATTACAGCTGTGCCAGTATAATTGAAATTTTAAAAATTCATTTCTGTTACTGTAACAAGCCTTGTTCATACTCTGTAGGAAAATAGTTCCTATTGTACCTGAACAGTGTAAATTTTTTATCTCTGTTTCTTTGTCTTGCTTCTTTGTCTTGCATCATGTTTTGTCAATAAATTTGTCATACCAGTCATTTTTAGTAGAAATCTCTGAAACTGCCCCAGGCCTGGTTAATGCTCTATGTGACAGTAAGTTCATATCATGCCAGAATGGTCTCCATTATTGATCTCTATTAAACTGTCTCAAGCTCTTTGTAAAAGTAGGTTTATGTTGCCAGTATAATTTGTATGTATTAATTTCTGTTAGAGTCGGGAGCCTCGTTCATTCTCTACAGGAAATTCTGTTTGTATATTATGTAAGTAATGTTTACATGTGGATGTCGGGGAAAGACCAGGCTAGCATAGTTGGGCTTTTTTTAGAGCTTCCTGGCAGAAAAATAAATTACGAACCATGATTGCCAATGTCTGTTCCAGATCTGGTACTTGATGATGATGGTGATGAAGACGAATGGTTTTATGATTATTATTTGTTGCAGTCTCTTCCTCTGTGTAGAAATGAGTTTATGTCCAGCCATAAAAGTTTTTTATTTTTACCTCCAGAACCTCTTCAGGCCTTACTCAGGTTCTATGTGGAATAAATTTATAGCCCGCAAGTGATGGTTTTTAAAAAAATTAATTCAACCGTTACAACTTATATTGTGGTTAATCTTTGTAACCTGTCGTCAGGCCCTGTATATATATATATATTTATATATATATATGCTCTATGTGGAAAGATGTACAAACCTTCATCCACTTGAGCTGTCTCAACCTTTATAATTTGTGAGACAACATAGTGAAATCAGGGGCTCATCAAAATAATGAAATTGAAGAAATTGGCATTTTTCTGCCCGACTGGCAGTTTTTATCAAATTTTTATTGTTTGACTTAATGCCTTTAAGATCCTTTTAAAAACATTTCTGTGTGGATTTTACTGAAAAATGTTGATTTAAGGTAGGCCTACAAAAATGTAAATTTGCAGTTTCTAAGGACTCTCAAGCTTTGGAAGTCACACAACTGTGGCAGCCTTTTTCTCGCTAATTTTACCTCTGAAAACAGGTAGCCCCCACCTCCTTCAGTCGCAAATATTGCGACTTCCATTCATGATAGATGAATATTTTTTTTCACCAAAAGCAAGTCGAGTGAACAAGCTTTAAGATGGTACCAATAACTCCACATGCCCAAAAATTGACGAGCGCCTGATTCCACCACATGGTAACACCATTAGTATTGTAAATCTCTGTGACCCGTCCTCAGGCCCCGTTCATGCTGTATGTGGAAGTGCTGAAGTGCGACAACACCACCACTAGTCAGATCCCTCACCGGATCCTGGAAAACACGCTGCGCTTCACACGCTCAGAGGAGGACCTGACCCAGTTAGCCCCGCCCTCCACGGGCTCTCCGCGGCCAGAGTTCAGCGTCTACGGCTCATGCCACGACTTTGATGATGCAGACTGCTGGTCGCAGGAGGATGATGACATCATAGCGGTGAGCATTTCTCTCCTTCACGTGGATGCTGGATTTTTTTCCCCTCATTATACAGGTGTTACTCAAAGCATTTGTTTTCAGTTTAATCCCATACTAGTTATGTCAATTGATTTTTTTTTTTTGCAAACGCAACTTTGCAGATTTTAGATATTTTCACGAAATGTAGATCTAATGGCATTTCTATAATCAGACTTTAGAAAAACCTCTATAACATGTCTTTTTACCATGTGGGCTTCCCGTTAAAAGTGGTCACAAAGTGCCCCCAAAAACTCAGATAAGTCGAATGTTCCCTGGCAGCAGCATATATTTATGCAACCTTCGTATTTTTCTTCTCGGGTGGTTGGAGAGTGCTGTGGTGTGGTCTGCTCCTTTTTTTCGATCAAACATTTATCATCCATATCTCTTCTCCTTTTTTGTGTTAATTACTCTCTTGAAACACCTCTAACCTTATTATGTTGCATGTACCTTAAAAGGCTTATCAAAACTTAAAACTAAATATTTCTTGATCTTTTCTTTCCCACTGTTTTAGCTGGCGAACCGCTGTCGATCAAGCGACACGATCTCCCAGCTGTCTACGGAGAGTTCTACCAGCGCAGACAGCAAGGATCCCGTGTACATCGCAGCTGGGGATATCAGACGCAGGCTGTCTGAAAACATGGCAGCACCGAAAAAGAAGTTTGAGGTACCCAGATTTTTTGGGGGTCATAATTTTTGTCTGATTTGTTTTGTTTCTCTGTTTTTTTTCGAGGCTTTTTTTTCTATTAGGGTGACCTACAACTGTGATCATCACTGCCTTTCTCACCCTGGGTCAGGATATAGGCCACGAACAAACACTCTCCACCTTTCCCTATCCTGGGCTAGTCACTTAATGTCACTCCACGTTTTCTCACTTTTCTGTACATCCATTTCTGTGACTTTTCTCCAGGTTCCACGAGGTCTTCCCCTTGATCTTTACCCTGTGGGTTCCAGTCTAACACTTTTCTTGTTATGCAGCTGCTTGACTTCCTGAGAGTGTGTCCAATCCATCGCCTCATCTCTGACCGGGCTCTGTCTGGTTCTTCTTAATACTTCCTCGTTGGTGATCCTGTCTGTCCATTTGATCCTCAGCAGCCTCCTCGGACACTTGTTCAAGAAAACCTGGAACCTCTTTATGCACATATGGGATGCGTTCCACATGTCACATCCATACAACAAGACTGACTTCACATTTGAGTTGAAAATTCTTAACTTTGTTCGTAATGAGATATCCGTGGTCCTCCATATCCTGCTCAAAGAAATAAATGCAGCCTGTGCCTTTCCAATGCTGGACTTTATTTCAGCGCCTGTACCTCTTTCTCTGTCAATTATACTCCCAAGATAGCAGAAGGATTCAACGTCTTCTAGTGCATTTCCTTGTACTGTGACCTGCTCCTTTTGCGGTGCATCTATCCTTAGGACTTTCGACTTTCCGGGGTGGATCCTCAGTCCAACAGACTCTGATAGACTGTTTAAAATTGTTGTCTTTGCTTGCATCTGTTCCTGAGTGTGTGCCAGAAGCGCCAAGTCATCTGCAAAGTCCAGATCGTCCAACTGTGTCCATGGGGTCCACTGTATACCGTTTAGACCTGCATGTTTGCCGACAATCGTCTGAAATCCGACAAACGTGACGCGACCCGCGAGGCGGCCGATGCTATCGCTAGGCCCACCTGTATCAGTCAATGTGCGAAGTGCGAGGCTTGGCCGACTGCCAGCGTCCCCCTTTTCTCCCGTCGGCTTTGTCGGCACTTTCGTTTTCGTGCCGACGTCGGCGTTTCCGACATAATTGAACCTGAGTAGAAATGCGAATACGAAAAAGGACGACGACCTAAATTATCTACTTTCAGTTTCGTGCTCGAGCGGCATTTTGAATTTCGTTTTGTTGACAAATTCAGTTGTTCAGATCGTGTGGATTCATTCCAGTCCGACTCACTTAGATAATAGAATCTAGATCTAGATTTATATAGATCATTATAGACCTCAATGGAGGATTCATATTCCAATTCTATTTTGTCAAACCCTATCATAGGTTGTGCTGTAATATTAATGTTGGTAAAAAGCATTTCATCAGGTGTGTGAATTATTTATTTATTTTAGAATCTAGACTCAGCTGAGCCCCTCTTTTCGGAATCGGATGCGGATTTCTAGTTCAAGGCCTATTCCTAGATCCTATTCACTTGTTCTACAAGATCTAGATCTAGATCTAGATTATTTTAGTTTACTAGATCTATATGGAGGATTCATATTCCAATTCTATTGTGTTATTGTATCAAACCCTATATAGATCTAGACTAGATCTAGCAATATGTAGATGTAGGCCATTATATTATGCTCCTTTTAAGCCTTGTTTGTTTTGGAGTGTGGTTTTTTTTATTTTAATTTTTTTTTTAATTTTGGACTTTTGCTGGCCTTTTTACATGAGGCTCGTTGCAGGTTCTTTTTTGGGGTAGGCCTAGGGGTAGGGTTAGGTCTCTTGTTTGTTAGGGTGGTCGCTCGTTACTCGGAAGTTCTTCCTTATGACACCCACAAAAGCTCGTGGGGGGGGGGGGGGGTTGCGCAAAATTTTCAGACAATCTGGTTGAGGCTCACATGCAGGTCTAACTGTTTCTGTGTCCTCTGGTGGTTTCCTTCATGGGCCAGTCGACTACCAATATGAAGAGGAACGGTGATAATAAACATCCCTGTCTCCCACCAGTCTTGATGTCAAAGTTGTCAGTGAGCTGGCCATCATGTACAACCCTGCAACTTGTCTCTTTGTACATGCTCTTGATGAGGTTCACCAACTTCTGTGGTTTTCTGTGGTGTCTCAGTATTTTCCATAGTGTTGCTCGGTCTATACTGTCAAAAGCCTTCTCATAGTCAAAAAGAAGTTTGAGGTACACAGATTATTGGGGGTCATAATTTTTGTCTGCATTACTTTGTTTCTCTGTTTATTTTCTAGGGGGGTTTTTCTATTAGGGTGACCTACAACTGTGACATGACAAGGAATTGTTGATGTTTGATGTGCATGCTTTGTGTTTGTGAAAAAAAATAGTGTACATGTGTGTTTGAGTTATGGGTAGTTTGGGTTTAATACCCCTTTCAACACCTGTGTCCATGGTGTAACGGTTGGGCTCTTTGCTGTCCAGCTATAGACAGTGAAAGGTCTTATTAGTTTGTTAGTGTTTGAGCTCTTAATCAGCTGCTTGCACTGTATACTTCCTGGGAAACTGAGAATGTTTCTGAGTGTTCTATGGTCTGCTGGGGTAATAATTTAGTTTAAAATGCATAGAGCTTGCTGTTGAGCGGGGATATGTGCTAAACAAATGCTTTTTATTTTTTATTATATTTGTTATAATTTGTCCTGCCTTTATAGCGTGACCCAGAGGACCCATCGGCTGCAGCACTGAAGGAGCCCTGGGAGGACAAAGTGGCCAGGATCAAAGAGAGCTCTCCTTACGGACACATGCCCAACTGGCAGCTCATGTCGGTCATCGTCAAAGTCGGAGACGACTTACGCCAGGAGCTACTGGTCTACCAGGTGCTGCAGAGACTCAAGGTAAGCAGCAATTAGAGGGCTGCTTTTGCTGTAACGAACTTCTTCTTACATTAGATATTTAGTAGGTAGCGTAAATACGACCTCCCAGCCTTCCGAGCGATTGTTTTCGGTAAAATCAGGGTAATTCAGATCGTTTTTTCTTTGCTCTTTCGCTATAAAACACCAAATGCTACACACCTTGCAAAAGTTCAGCTGTTCCTCATTAAAATGGTAAAAGTTGTTTGTATATCCGAGTATTTGGAGCTGGAGAATCACCGGGAAAAGCAAAACCCTCACGGTCAGAATGTGTTGTTGGCCAGTTCATAAATTGACACCCATGCATTTAAATGCTTTGCAGAAAGAATATAGATTAAATACTGTCTTTTCATTGGCAGAGAACTATAGATTTGAACGGGATTTTACATGATGTATTTTTGGCCTTTGGCATTTAAATATAAATCCTTTATAAAATACCGTCGAAATTTTGAAAGATTAAAATATGTAAACTACTGGCTCAGAAAGATACCAATAGAAAGATCAGTTCATTTTTTATTAGAATAAAGTCATCGGCTTGGAATCATTTTGCATCAATCCCGCAAAACTCCAAAACTCTTGTTACTCTTTTATTGTCTGTCAAACATGGGGTTGCAACCCGTTAACGAATTTAGCAGTATTTGATAATATTAAAACTGTTACCATTTTCTTAACCCTTTCGTTGCCAGGGGGTAGGCGTTCCTGTTCTCAGCACTGATTTTCTGCTAAGCTCGTTTACCAGGACAGCAGCTTAATGTGTCAGCGTTAATGGACGCTCGGTCTAGATCTAGCGCTCTCGTGACTTACTTCAGACACAGAGACTTCCATTGTGTCACTTTTCTTATTCCCAATTTCCTTCCATCTTACTCATAATTTCAAATAACCGAATAACCTGCAAATCTACGTCAAAAAGTGAATTTAATAGACTTTTTAAAGTCATTTTGATGATTACATTTTACGAGAGCACGCGACTACCCTCAAGCCTAGATGTTACCTGTGTTTATCGATCGCTTGCAAGTCTAGTAGTAAAGTAATACAAGCAAATTTGGTAACGATATACGCATCTTTCATTCCTAAATATAAATCTATGCAGCGCTTGTGGCTAAAACTCTGTACAGAAGAATTAGAGCCAGGTTATTAGCATGACGTATATGTAACGGCATATAGACAACCAGGAGCAAAACATTTTACCTCAACTTTCGTGGCGTACATGGTATGGCACAGCGCTAAAAATTATACATTTTCATGATGTACCAAGTACGTCATAAGACAGCAAAGGGGTTAAAAATTGACTGAGAGGTAAAAGAATGGTACCAAAGTTCTCTGGAGACAGGCCATTCTGCTGCTTTGAAAATTTTGTTTCTGGCCTCATCTCTTTTAGATTTTTAAACCTCTTACTGGTAGTTGTACTTTTATACATTTTTTTCTTTCTTTTTCTTTTCTTTATGAAGGCTTATGTTTCTTCAATAAGAATTCAGTATAGCTTACCTTGTCTTGGCTGTTGTCTTACAAAACTGTCTTTCCTCTTTGTTCAAACTTATGGAGCTGTCTTTTCTCCTTCTTCAAACTTGAAAAGACGACTTTTTTTCTTTCTTCTTTTTTATAAAGATGTGTTTTTCTCTTTCTGACGGCCTTTTTCTTTCTTCAGACTTATAAAGATGTCTTTTTTTCTTTCTTCAGACTTACTAAGACATCTTTTCTCTTTGTTTAAACCTTTTTCTTCCGACTTTCAAAGATGTCTTAAATTCTCTTTCTTCAGTCTTATTCCCATGTCTTCTTTCTCTCCCTGTATCTAGATGTACTGGAACCAGGAGCACGTCCCCCTGTGGATCAAGCCCTACAAGATTGTGGTCACGGCCCGGGACAGCGGCATGATTGAGCCAGTGGTGAACGCCGTGTCGCTGCACCAGATTAAGAAGCACAGCAAGCTGTCGTTGCTGGACTACTTCATCCACGAGTTTGGGCCTGTCACCAGCGAAGAGTTCCTTACGGCCCAGAAAAACTTTGTGCAGAGCTGTGCTGGTTACTGTCTCGTCTGCTACCTGCTGCAGCTAAAGGATCGGTGAGTGGTCGATGTAGAATTTGTGCTAGCTGAAGCGTATCTGTCTGTTTGTCTGTCTTTCTGTGACGATAATTGCATTTTTACAGCACATACGTATACATGCTCTACTGCATACTCTATGCCCTTTATAACTATTATTATCCCAGCAACCTCTAGAATATTTAGAAACATTCTGAGCTTTGCAGGAAGCATACAGGGTAAGCAGCTGATTAAGTGCTCAAACAGTAACAAACAAACACGATCTCTCAGTCTATTGCTGGGTACCCTTTCCTACCTGGAAAATTCATGTAAAAATGCCTTTACTCAGGACACAACGATTGAATCTGCCATAAGTTTTATTCTATGGCATCTCTGCTGATTTCATTTGTCATAATTTGAGTCACCATTTCGGTTTGTTTATCCTGTTCTTTATATCACCAAACGTGGGAATGCTTCACCAATGAGTTCTACTTTGTATTTTATCATGTTCATCGTTCTATCTGGAAATGTATAGTTTATGGCCCTTACTTGCTGGGTTTTTGCCTGTTTTGAAGCATTTTCCAACGTGATATGGTCTAATAAAATAATTTCCCCTGATGCCACAGTATATTTGTTAGTGATGTTTGGAGGATGAAGATTAACAGGTGAGCGACTCTTCAGTGACATCTCTTATTCATACTTTTTAAAGATTCTGTGTTTTTATCTCTTACAGACACAACGGGAACATTCTCTTGGACTCTGAGGGCCACATCATTCACATAGACTTTGGCTTCATCCTTTCCAACTCTCCTGGAAAAAACCTGGGCTTTGAGAACTCGCCATTCAAACTCACCCACGAGTTTGTGGAGGTACAAGTTTCTTTCTTGCCACTTGTTCTCCGTTTTTATTTTATCTTACTTGGTTGCATTGGTAGCTGAGAAGGAATCAAACTGTACTTTTTGTGTGTGTAAACTTTGTTCGATTCCCAAATGGGACATTTATGAACTTGAGTCATTTGGGGTTTTCCAGACTCTCTGCCCACTTACTTTAGTGTTATCAAAGACCAGAGATAAACATTGAATTCAAAGCTCCAACCTTTTGAACGCTGCCAACTTAAAATTAGAGCAATGTAATTGCACGGTTCATGATTTTGAGAAAAACGAAGAAAACTATTGATGCTTAGTATTAAGATCAGTCACTGATGTTTATTATTGAGATCAGTCACTTAAGCAGCTTATCGTTCTGCCTTTGTCAGAAGTTTTGAAAGGCTTTTTTGAAAATATATGTATGTATGTATATATACATATATATATATATATATATGTCATTGCATTATTGCTCTTAGTATATGTTGGGGGGTTTTTTTCCTCTCTTCCCCTCGGCAGGTGATGGGAGGCTTGGGCAGCGATATGTTTGAGTACTTCAAGATCCTTATGCTCCAGGGATTTGTGGCCTCGCGGAAGCACATGGACAAGATTGTGCCCCTGGTGGAGATTATGCAGACAGGTAATAAATAATAATAATAATAATAATAGATAGCATTTGTATAGCGCATGTCCCCACTCAACAGCAGGCTCTATGCGCTTTTCACTATATTATTACCCCAGCAGACCATAGAACACTCCGAAACATTCTCAGCTTCCCGGGAAGCATACAGTGCAAGCAGCCGATTAAGCGCTCAAACACTAACAAACTGATAAGATCTTTCGCTGTCTATAGCCGGGTACCCATTCCCACCTGGGTGAAGTGAGGAAAATTCGTGTTAAGTGCCTTTCCCAAGGACACAACGTCGGGCCCTTGACGGGATTCGAACCCACGACCTTACGGTTGTGAGTCCGAGAGCCTAACCACTCCAGAGGGCTGTGTTCTCGTGTTCTCTGTCACCTTTTGTGTTCAGTTGAGAGTTTTATCCCTCCGTGGTTTCTGTCTGTCTTGTCTTTTCTTTTCTGTACGTAATACATCACTAGCAGAAAACAGATACTCTGATATTTACAGTCGACTACGGATGAGTTGATGTCGTGTGAGGAGTGGGGAAAAAATCAAACTCATCGTCAGGACTTGTAAAAAAGAAGAGGTGCTTGCTCTCTAGAAAACGATCATTCTTCTGAAGATCAACTCAAAGGAGTTCAACACAAATGGAGTCGACTGTAACGTCCTCTTCGCCTACGCGCTGCAACCCACGTTATTTGTTTGCTTGGTGAAGAGTGTGAGCGTTGCCAGAAGAACACTGTTGTTAGTTTTATTATGGAAACTATTCTTGCCTCGTGGATGGCAGGACAATGCTAAAGATAAGTTGTATTTATTAAAAGACTCTCATTCTCTTTATTGTTTCTGTTTATGCATCTCACTTCTCCTTTGCTCTAAATGGCAGTTATTGTGTAGACGTGTTCGACTTTGCTTATACTTATTAAAACAAATATTTGTAGCTGGAACAAAAAGCACAGTCCATAAGTTACAGACTCCATCATTAGACTCTTTACAAAAAACATACATGCCTGTTTCCAGTGAGTTGGTGGTTGGCGGGTGCTCTGGTGTCGTTTGCTTATCCTTTCCTATCAAACATATCTATCGCCCTTATCTTTCCTCCTTCTTTTTTTTTTGCATATATTTCTCTCTTGTAACACCTCTAATCTTCGGCACTTATATGACCTTATTGTGTTGCAAGTGCTGTAAAACTCCGCGAACTGTTCCTAGTGTCACAGGCACCATTATTAGACTCATGCCAAAAACAGTGATAGTAAAGGCATAACTCTATTTTTAGGAAAATGTGACGTAACCTTGTTGTTTTTCTCAGGTCTTCAATTATCTATTCAATTATCTGTTGCCAGGGTCCGAGCTTCCGTGCTTCAGCAAGGGCATCAGCGCGGTGCGAGGGTTCAAGGACCGCTTCCACATGGGCACCACGGAGGAGCAGCTTCACCTGATAGTGGACGGCCTGGTGGAGGCCAGTCTGCACTCTCTCACCACCAAGCTCTACGACGGTTTCCAGTACATCACCAACGGCATCTTGTAGAAACTTCATCACACCGTGTGTGTGTTTACGTGTGTTTGTGTGTATGTGTGTGTGCGCATGCATGAGTGGAGGAGGGGGGCAGGTGTCACTTTTGAGTGACAGAAAAGTATTGTCCTTTAGAGAATTTGTGTTGAGTGCCTGCAAGTTTGGGGGGGGGGGGGGGCTCATATTTGAGTGAAGGAAAGATGGTGTTATGTGTGATGTACCTGTGATTTTTATGATGTAGTAGATTTTATCTTTTTTTTTTTTTTCAGAAAAAAATCCTGGAAGGGGGGGGGGGGGGGGGGGGGGGGCACTTTTGAGTCATGAAAAAGCGTGTTGTGTGTACTTTGTAATTGATTTTTAAAATGTAGTAGGTGCTTTCTTTCTTTCACCTAAAAAACTTTGCTGTGGATTTTGATACGAAATCTTCCTCTTATTGTATAAAAAGAAAAGTCTCTTGTCAGATGTCAGAGAAGGCAGTTTTATTGATAGGTAAAGTGTGTATAGTTGTGGGTGTTTTTATGAAATAGTTAATAAATACTCGCCCTTCAGAAAATCTAAAAATGAATGTTTGTACTTTACTAATGGTTTCTCAATGTTTTTTTCACAGTAGTGCCCTTATTTACGGGAAATTACTGTCATTTCCCACTAGTAAGGGCACCTTTAAATTTGGTTGTGAAAGACAAGGGGGCCCAACATTATCAAACAAAAATGGGTAGCTTACTTTCATAAACATCAGTGGAAAAAATCTACATTTGCTACCAGTAAAATGTAGAGGGAGACCTGAAGCCTTTGAGCCCTGACCTCTTGAGGCTACCGTGCCCCTCTGCCTGAGCTCCTGAGCGATATATTAGTTATTACAAACATCCAAAAGATCATCAGAATCACTTTCCATCTCCCACTCAGAGTAGTCTTGGTCATTACCAGCATTAAATTCAGAAAGATCTTCAAAATAATTAATAACATTCTGTGTAGTAAGCACTGTTTTTTGTGTGCATTTTGTCCCAGGCTTATCGGGTTGGAGATGAGGTCTCGCTCACTGGTGTACCGGTGGCTAGGCATACAAGCAGTTTCAAGCGCCACCGGTTTACCCGTGGCAAGGGCTCGAAGGGTTAACAGGAAAAAGGACGTCTACTTCTTCCATTGGGCTAGAGCACTTACTGTACTGTTGACTTTGTTTTTAACTCTTCTCACACTGTGAACCAATACATGTGTAGATGCACGTAGCTTCTGTTGCGGACCAATATCTGATGCACCTTGTGAAGGGCCAAATCTTTGTTTTGTCATTGCCTTTTTTTGCTTGATTTTAGTATGTTTTCTGCTTTAGCCAAGCTGTGCTGAATAGGGATTGGTTCTTCCTGAGAGTTTGTGTAGCTGCTTGAATTGTGTGGACATCTGAAAAGTTCAGATTCAAAAGGATAAAAAATATCCGGGTGTAGGCCTGTTTGAACTCCCAGTACCCGATAATGATTTGGTTCAGGTAGGGTTAACGAGGGACCGGCGGCATTGTGACATAGTGTTGTGTACAAGACACAAATTGTATAGTATCATACGAGTTTTACTCTGTGTATAGTTTTTTTTTCAAACGTGATGAGCTCTTACTAGAATTTTTATGAAAAAATCTTGTAGCTGTGTGCTTTATGAAATTTTTCATATGAGAATTTTTGGCTGCCAAGTCTTTGTATACTCAGCGCAATACTTGGTGGGTCTGTGTTAATGTGGCAAAAGAAGACTATAGATTTGTACAGTTTGGGGGGGGGGGGGTGCGAATGTGTTTTATTCCACTATTGATCTTCTAGCGACCTTGATTTATGCTTTCAAAAACGACACGCTGGCCACCATCCCACCTATTTGTTTCATCAACAGCATGCCCTGCCAATGATCAAACATATGTCAAATGTTTGTTGTTCTGGTCCAAAGCGGAAGGCTCCACCTTCCTTCAGCGCCACCTCTATATATTGTACTTTGGCTGTGGGTGGATCCTTCAGGCTTTGGGCCCCCTAGTGTTATTTGTCGGTGCCTCCGAGTTTTGCTCATATTCTCTTCTTGTGCTTAGGTTGTGGAGGGATCGTCTCCTACTATGATTGATTACCTTGATTTCTCTCCTGTGAGCTGCTGTTGATTCACGTACCGGGTTATCACAGGAGATATTTCACTTTGTCAGAACATAATTATGTAAGCTGACAAAACGCCTTTTTTCATTTTGGCACCCAACATTTTTATTTGCTTAATTAATCGAAAGCATGATCAGTTACCCTGTTTGTATGAAAAAATCAAAGTGAAACTGTGATTAATCTTAAAATTAATTAGAATTCAAATTTTGGAAGCACTCTTTTTTTCATTGGTTACGCTGACAACAACAAAAACTGTCTTGAAACTACTGTGAATAAAAGAGGCGTTTTGTCAGCTTACGGCAGTCTTCTGTTTTAATGGAAAACCTAGTACACGAGATTGTGGGTTCAACCAACTGATTGACAAATTCAGCGTAGGCCGAAACACTCACATTTTGCTGTCATGAGTGGATCGGCTACATTCTTTGTTTAACTCTGTGTGTGTGAATAGAGGGGAAAGGACATGCATGAATTTAGCAAAAATTCTAAGCGGTAGGAGTTGTGTACCTTATTTAACAAATAAAATAAATTTTAAAAATTCATTTGTGTGAGTGAGCATGTTATTTTTTAAACTAATAGGGTTTCTTCTATATGTATGTGTTTTTGGTAACGAAACAAATAGGGTTTTGGGGGGGAGGGGGGATTGCTATCTTTGTTTCTTTAACAAAGCTTATCTTTTTTTTAAAATTTGTAAGCACTTTTAAAAATGAAACGTATTGTGGCCGTAGTGGCGTGTGTGTGGATGGTATGTCTACTACTACTGGAAAACGCACATGCTCAGGTCCCACATCCTTTTTGTACGCTGCTTATTGATGTTGATGTCGTTAAGGCGGGTGGTTGGAAGAAAGCCTTGTGTAGCTCATGCTTCTTTTCTTTCTCTCTGCAGTTTTAGTCCCTTTTTGTATGTGTGTGTGTCTGTATGCAGAAAATAAGTCATACGTCACTTGGAATTGAATTTCATACTTTTTACTTAGCAGATCAAGATCATTACCTACTTTGCTACAGGGGGGGGGGGGCAGGGCGCCGGCATTGACTACTTCGTTGAAACGGTGCTGTTCTTATTTTGTGATAACCCGGTAGGATGTGTCCTTGCAGTGAACTGGCTTGTTATGCTGGTGTATTATGTATTTGAATATATTTATGTGGTTATGTGTGTATGTATGTATGTACGGTATATAAGTATATCTACTTATAGATAAATTGTATGATATAAGTAATTATATAATGTATACATACATATATTTTATATATATATATATAAGTATACATATGCACCTATGTTCGTGTATACAGTCTGACACAGGTAACACAAACACATGAAACTGGAAGTCACAGATGGTGATAGCTCATTTAATGTGCCATTCCCCAACTGAACTGCTATAAATTCCTTTGTGTTGGCAACACAGTTTTCTCAAACACTTTACAGATTTGTTGAACAGCTTATCTCGAAAAGTGGGTCGTTGGCGGGTGCTCTTGTGTGGTTTGCTCCTTCTTTCCTATCAAACATCTATCATCCTTATCTCCTCTCCTTCTTTTTTGTGTTTGTTACTCTTGTAACACCTCTAATCTTCGGCACTAAAAAAAAAAAATTAGCTCAAAAAACCGTATCACATTTTCCCTCACAGGTGCTTCAAACTAAAAGTAATGTTATTGATTTCCCTAACTTTGTGTGTGTCGAAACTCATTTGTCAATTCCTGACGTGTTTGAGTTATCCGTGCGTGGCTGTATGTTTAAATATTTGTATATGTACATATACTACATGTACATATGTAGACATATGTGTATATGCATATAAATATATATACAATATAAATGTGTGAGTTTGTGTGTATACACAGTAAAATCTCGGTATGTAACTTACTCGGCTTAAAACATACCCACGCCTATAACGTTATTATTCTTTAGTCCAGAGTCCCATCTAGTATTTTTACTCTGTAAAAGCTGTGTCTAAAACCTACCTCTGCTAAAAACACACTTTCATCTATGACATTCAATTTTCAAGGGGTTTTACTAGTTTTACTTTGATACACCTTTTTTTTAGGGTGGGTTTCACTTGTACATAACTCTGCAATAAAGTCCAAAATCTTGGGTCAAAAGAGAGTAAGTGATACTGAGGTTTTACTGATATATAATATATGTGAGGCAGCGTGGTGGAATCAGGCTCTCGTCAAAATAATTAGAGTGAAGTTATTTGCATTTTTCTGCAGGTTTGTGGATTTTTATCAAATTTTAGTTTTTTGGCTCTACACCTTTCATGCCCATTAAAGAACTCATTTCTGTGAGGGTTTTTCTGAAAAACGTTGGTTAAAGGCACAAAAAATGTAAATTTATAGTTACCACGGACTCTTAAGCTAGGGAAATAACTTATCTTTGGCGACCATTTTCTCACTAATTTTACCTCTGAAAACAGGCGACACCCACCTCCTTCATTCACAAATATCTCGACTTGTATTCAAGACAAGTGGATATTTTTTTCAACCAAGTAAAGACAAGTGAACAAGCTTTCAGATGATACCAATAACTCCACATGCCCAAAAATTTACAGAGAGCCTGATTCCACCACGGTGCCTCACATATGTAGAAGAGTTTTCCAAAACTCTGTACGTCAATTTTGACGATTGTCTGATGTCAACACGTTGTCACACATGTGCATATACTTGACATACACATGTAGGCCTATATAATGATATATACAGTATAGCACGGGTAGCTCGAATTCGTCGGGGCGGGCCTCGGTAGTTTGAGGGATCTATAGTTCAAGGGATATCTTACAAATGTGAAGAAGAAAGGAAAAAAACGGGACTGCGGCAGGCACAGTTCGACGGATGCATGATTTCGAGTCTTCTGTGTTCGGCCTATACTATCCATGCGTATGAACGTATGTGACATACTGGTAAAATCAGGCGCTCGTCAAAATTGACTCACACAGAGTTTTGGAAAAACCCACTCTTCATCTCTATATATATAATATTGTCATTGTTCTCCTGGTGGCAGCCTGCTTGTGAGGAATGATTTCTCTTATTAGTTTCCTCTCAGCCTTCATTATTGGAGGGGGGGGGGCCTGCAGGAATATTCATTCCCGTGTGGCTCGTCAGATTTACTGGCTGCTGTTTCATTTTGTGTCGTGTATGCCTATGCCATTTGCAACACTTGTAAGTAAGCTGATACCAATGAGTTGTACGATAAAATAGTGGAAATCATTATTATTTATTCACGAGCGAGCAGAAAGATACAACTTTATCTTAAATCGAATGTTCAAAGTTCTGAATTAGAAAGGCTTCCGCAAGTTGTGCATTTTTGGGTGAACTGAAAGCCTACCAGCAACCTTCCTAACTCTGATTCCAATACAGCCTCTTGGGCTGCCTTTTATTAGGTATTGGAGGATACAGAAGCTGAATTCAGGACTAGTAAAAGTACTAGTAGTGTTAATGTTGGTAAATCGCTACCTCAGTATGACAGAGTACTATCTGACATTTTTGGCCGTTTTGAAATCAGAGATCAAATGCTCTATCTGCTCTATCAAAATCGTAAGTCTAGTCTGAGTCGTTGTCAAGATATTCAAAGAATTGCATTTGAAAAAGCCTGACATATTGACATCAAATTTCTCAAAACTGGGCACGGAGCGGATAGTACTTTGTTATTCTAAGGTAGTGAAATGCCAAAAGAATCTTTGCTGACTTGCGACGCCTCGCTTCCCAATTTGTTTTTGAATAAAAATGTAACCTTCTGTCAGAGAAATAATGCTAGTATAGCTTTCCAGGCTGTTTTTTTTGTAAACAGATAAAGCCTCCTTAGTGTGGCACATGTGGTGAGTTTTTGTGTTGGGGGGAGGGGGGGGATGTGGAGAGGCGCACAATTTCACTCATCCGTCGGAATTAATTATTTATATTATTAATTATGAAGCACAAGTGATATCTCGTGTAACTCAGTCGCTGTAAAAAATGTTTATATATTGAAATTGAATTGAATGCTCCCGTGGTTCTGTTTCTTTCTGCATCATCGCATGTTCTATTCTGTTATAACCATTAACATTTTGTCATGGCTCACTCCTGAAATTGTTTATTATGGCTGTCCAAAAAAAAAAAGTAAAATAAAAGGCTGTGTGTTGGAATGTCACAATATTCCAAGTATGAGAGAATATCAAATGTTTCAGTGAAATGAACTGAATTGAGGCCAGTGTGTACAAAAATTTGTCCTTGCTTCTCAAAGGGAGCAGAGACTTTTTTTTTTGCCTTTTGAATATTAAGGCTGTTTGCATCAATTTGAGGTTAGTGAGAGCAGTTAAGCTGATTTTTATTTTCGCGTGAATGCTGTAGGGGGTTATTTCTCATCATGGGACAAAAAAACTGAGGCCCAGAGTACCATATGAATGGGAAAGGAAAGCTGTGGCAGTAACCCAGTGTTGATTTGACACCTCGGGGCAAGGAACCTCAGCGTCTTAACAGCCACCATCTATGTATTGACCTCTAAAGTTATTGTGCTCCTCTACTGGGCCTTGAAAGGTCACTTTACAAGACCTGTTGAGCACTTGACCTCATGGTTGCAGTAAGTATAGAAAGAAGAATGCAAAAAAGACTAAGGTTGAAGTAGACCTACATCAAGGTTGATATTTTCTGAACTGGCTGCTGCTATGAAAGATAGAATCTGAAACTTGTTGGCATTCGACCTCAATACCTCGAAGTATCATGTACATGTTTGTCTACATTACTGTCCTGTCTTCACTGTATGAAATTGTTTGGTAAAAATAAATGAGACAAACCCTCAGTTACATGAGTTATTTTTTTCCTATTTTATATTTTATTTTAATTTTTTGTCTTTGAATGTTGGTGTTTTACATGTACACACACACACACACACACATTTTTTATTTATTTTTTTTTGGGGGGGGGGGGGGGGGGGGATTGATACAATTGATAGCGCTGTCAAAAATTCATGGCACAACTTATCCTCAAATATCTTTTTAACTGTTTAAAATATCACCTAAACTTTGCACAGCAATTTGTACATGTACTATCGGTTTGTCTCAACTGTATCATACTTTTTCAAGACGATTAAGACTGGATTAAAATAACTTTTCTTCATAAATTTATATAAAATACTTCTCCATGGGCCGAAAAAGGAATTATTCACAGCACTTCCCACTTCTTACACACATTTTGCGTATGCGTATGACCTACGTCACTGCTCCCCCATGACACTTTTTAGTGGCAAAACTAGTTACAAGAAATTAAATTTATAGTGAACTTTATGTTGCACTAAAGGTTCTCAAAACATGCTGTAATAAACATAATCTTGCGATTAGAAAAAAAAGACAGGCTTGCTTTCAAAAGCGGCATTGTCCCAGTTGTAAACGTTTTCAAATCTGTAGAAACCACCCACTAGGATATTTTTAGCTTTGTACAGTGGAAACCTGATATAAAAGGGATGGTGGGACCATAGAAAAAGTTCCCTGTTAAATCAGAAATGGAAGGGAAGTAAGCATTTGTGGACTAATTCAGCTGTATTTATTCATGGGTAGTTTCCCTTGCCACAAGTACCCTGCACATGACACATTACGCGTGCGTGTAGCTAGGCTTAGGGCTGGATCGAAGTCTGCAGCCCTCTTTCACTTCACCCGCTGCGTGTGCTTGCAGTAGCGTGGTTTGCGTGAGCTTGCTGTCTTAGTTTTTACTCATTGTTAACGAGCCTTTGTCACTGATAGAACCGATTTGGCCCCGATGGGGCTCTGTTATTGCCGATAACTTTTAATAGAGACAAAGAGAAGGGGGAAAAATTGGGATTTTAAAAATCCCTGTTATTACTGGATCCCTGTTATTACAGGGCCTGTTATATATGGTTTGGGGTCTCTCGTGGCCTAGAGGTTAAGGTTTTGGCCTCTCATTCAAAAGGTCCCGGGTTCGAATCCGGGTAGCGACCGAAAAATGTTCTTCTCTAAATTTGTCTCCTTTCACCTCATTTCCTGCTCTCTAGCAATGTTCTGTCGTCTGCTTTCGTCTCTTCTTTCTGCCCCCACCCCATCACCTCCTTTGCCCCTTCCTCTGGGCTCCTGATTCTTTCTGCAGCCTTTCTACTGCTACTCCGTCGCTTCTTCTTACTGCTGTCTTTCAGCCACACCCCTGATCTTCTGGTAGGAAAGACCTACACCTAGCCTTCTCGGACAAGGGTGAAAAATCTCGGAGGGCCCGTATGCAAGTTGCGCACATTAAAGATCCCTTGGTGGTCAAAAATCGATAAGAGTAGGCTTCGGCCGCCACCCGGGCAAAATTCAAAACCTACCAACTGAAAATATTAGGTGTGTCCCGCACGCTCATATGACCTTATGCAGTTGCGAGCGCCGTAAAACACTTTACCCAAAAATTTTTTTAAAAAAAATATGGTTTCCATTGCAGTAGAAACCTGATATAACAGGGATGGTGGGTCCAGAGAAAAGTCTTGTTATATTTGATCCCTGTTAAATCAGAAATGCAAAGGAAGTAAGCATTTGTGGATTAAGCTGTATTTATTCATGGGTAGTGTCCCTTGTCACAAGTAACCATGAAAAGGGGTTTTTGCCATGTGACGGGCCTGCGCATGACACATTACACGTGCATGTAGCTAGGATTAGGGCTAGATCGAAGTCTGCAGCACAGCACACCGCAGCCCTCTCTCGCTTCACCCCCTGCGTGTGCTTGCAGGGGCATGGCTTGCACGGGCTTGCTCCATCACTGCGTTTCTCTCTCTCTCTCTCTCTCTCACTTTTTACACATTGTTAACGAGCCTTTGTCCCTGCTATAACCGATTGGGCTCCGATGAGACCCTATTATAATCGATAACTTTTCATAAAGACAAAGAGTAGGAAAAAACGGGATTTAAAAAAATCCCTGTTATTACCGGATCCCTCTTATTACCGGGCATGTTTCTTATATTATATGCCAATATGGTTTCCACTGTATTTTATATTGAAAATGAGTTGTATAATTGAAAGCTTGTGAACAGTATTACATCTGTCCCCGTCGTTTTTTCTTATGCATGAAGAATTCTGAAATTATACAAACTGAGCCCAAAAATGTGAAATTATGCGATTCTGTTAATTTTAACAAAGAATGATAAAGGAAAATAATCAGAAATTATGCAAAAAATGATCAAATTTCGCTTAATTATGCTGGGTGCATAAAACCACGGGGACAGGTAGGCTACATGTATAAAACAATTTGAGTTTTATGTGTGTGTGCCACAGATGCATGAAGATTTTGTTTGTTTCAAGATAAATCACAGGTTCATTGACCGGTCACGATGGCGAACGTGACAAGACGCTTGCATAACTTTCTTTTCTCTTCTTTTTTCACAAGTGACAGCAGAGGACAAGTTTTTAATATTGATTTATTTTCAAGGCGACACAGCATTCGTAATGCACAACCTACATGTTACAAAAGTTGCGTTATCTATCAGACTTATTCTGTCCCCGTAGAATTATGCAAATTTAGAAGGCCAAATTATGCACAAAAAAAGCAAAATTATGCAAAAATTATGCAAGTTACCGTAACACCATTCGCGACATATTTTGCACTTTTTCAACGCAAAGTTTCATGATTTTCATGTTTTATGTACAGGAATATTGAAAACAGAACATATCAGTAATTTGTTGTGTATTTGGAAAAGAAAACAATCCCCATCAGTAAAAAAAAATATATATATTATATATATATATATATATATAAAAAAAATTTTTTTAAATAATAATCTCTGTAACTTTCAGCTAGAGGAAAGAAAAACGTTTAAAAAAAAAAAATTTTAAGCGATATCTGGACCTCTGATGCTGGCACATTACTAAAACCACGGACACCTGTCAAACATGAAACATCAACTTTTGATGGATTGGAAAATTGAACATGCTCAAGGAACAAAATCAAAACCCAGATCTTCTAACAAGGGAAATAACCAAGTTTTCACTTAAATGAGACTTAATACGGTGATTACGTCCCTTTAGTCACATGGCGAAGCGTTAATTAACTGTTGTTTTGTGAAAAAAAAAGAGGAAAAAACATGAAAAAACGCGGGTAATCCAAAATTATGCAAATGTTGCAGAATTACGCGCCGCGGCCGCACAATCCTACGGGGACAGCTTATTACCGGAAAATTTCTGGGTGGTAACGAAAGCGAAAGTAGATCTTACTCTTAGATCTTGATTCTTCCCGATCGAGCCTCGGTGTCACAAATACACTTCCGCCACAGCGGTTCAATTTCATTACATTGAGTTTGTCTTTCCATGTTACACGCCTGGACCGCTGGTGCCCCAGTCACGTGTGTAGGCCGCCCATCCGACCCGACACACGCCAGACAGAGTAGACACATGCGAGTGCCAACAACGCATGTGATGGTGTGAAAAAAGGCAGCTGACTGGTCGCATTCAATCGGCTAAGTGAACAATAGTTCACAATGCAGTATGCAGGTGCAATGGATGGTTTTTGGGAATAGATAAAGTTCGTTCTGGGTGAAAAATAAGCGAAGCCACGTCTGTGGGGACTGTTCCCCTTGGAAGCGACCTCGTTGAATCCGAGCTTGCCGATTTAAGTGCTCATTGAATCCGGGTTATCTTTATTGATTTTTTAAAGAAAAAAAAAATCCGGGAATCTGTCTCCTCTCGTTGAATCCGAGCTCCATTGTATTTTAGAAATCATCCTTCTTGGCAATATAGCAGAGAATTCTCTAGACCATTATACAGAGGATGTGCAGGTTTGCAGGCCAAATTTTTTTCCTTCTCTCTATTCATTTGGCTGTTAGTAGAAAATTAAGTGAGAAATGGCCGCAAATAGTGCCTTTACTCTAGGGCTCTGAAAACAAACAAGTCACACAAAAGTCGAAGATCCCCCCCCCCCCGTAAGAATTTTACGGCACTTGGAACACAATAAGGCCATATAAGTGCCAAAGATTAAGAGGTGTTTCAAGGGAGTAACAAACACATAAAAAAAGGAGGGAAAGATAAAGACGATAGATGTTTGGTAGGAAAGAAGGAGCAAACCACACAAGAACACCCTCCAAGCATCCCATGCCGAAGATTTGGCACCCGTATAGGACAAAAAATGTTGAATAAAAATAAAAGAGCAAACCACACCAGAAGAGCATCCGCCAACCACCCATGCTTTCCAAGCAGTCCAACATTCTTCATTCAAAACCAAAAGAATAAGAAAAAAAAACTAGTTAGGCTTTTTCGATTTTTATTTTCAACCAGGTTTCAACTTATGGAATTTCTTGTCCCAAGTCTAGTCAAACAGACCTGTTGAGAAAAAAAAGGCAAGTTACGTGTGGTACACAGAATAATTAACACACACACAAAAAGAAAAAAAAAGGAAAAAGATCACAAAACATCTTTTGTATTTTATAAGAAATTAACTTATGATCAAATTCTATCATTTTTACGTCAAAATTTGACAAAGAGTACAAATATTACATGCTATCAGATCTAATCGATTCTACACAAATAGCCTGGCTGAACTTGCCCATGGAAGAAATTCTATGACTTCTGTAAAGCATACTCAACAGACTGCCGCCAATAGCCAAGGCTTGAGGCGACTTGATTTGAACACTAGCAGGAGAGACTTAAAACAATGAAAGCAGTCCATTTGTTGTGTGACGTAAAGATGCGGATATTTGGTCTTGTTATTTTTAGTAGAAGTTTTACAGCGCTCGCAACTGCAAAGCATAAGGTCATATGAGTGCCAGAAGATTAGAGGTGTTACAAGAGAGTAACAAACATAAAAAAGAAGGAGGGGAGATATGGACGATAGATTTTTTTATAGGAAAGAAGGAGCAAACCACACCAGAGCACCTAACCACCCACGGATATTTGGTCTGAAAGCACAGCTGGTGTCATATATTATAATATAGAGAACAAAGAGTTACAACAAAGTACAAGCAGCACAATGTTCCTGGTGCAGGTGACATTTAATGTATAATTTCGAACATTAATGTCCAATAACCAGATCTTTGATGTCGCATCCAGCTGTCTGACAGCACGCACAAAGTGTGTGGTGAGCCTTGACAATACAGTGATGCGCAATATACAAGAGGTTTCATTCATTTATCTTCCCCAGGCATATATAAACCCACACGCAGTTTTGACAAGTGATTCTCAATATCTAAACACATTACCAGCAGCTTAGATGTAGACCCCCCTATAGGAGAGCTGATCAGCACACAAGCCAACACATAGAACATAAATCAATGAAAGTACTATGATGGGAGCAGGTGTGTGGGGTTTCAAAGCAAGAACCAAAGTTTTTATCACTATTAACCACCACTTTTAATAGGATTTTAGTGATCTAAATTACTACAGTTAGCTTATCTTATATTGGACACTACATTGTGAGAATAAAGAATACGACAAAAAAGTGATGGATTTAGCTAGACCTGCATGTGAGCCTCAACCAGATTGTCTGAAAATTTTGCGCAAATAGATCTAAATAAATAATTCACGCACCTGATGAAATGCTTATTTTTACCAATATTAATAGGCCACAATTACAGCACAACCTATGATAGGGTTTGACACAATAGAATTGGAATATGAATCCTCCATTGAGGTCTATAATGATCTATATAAATCTAGATCTAGATCTAGATTCTATTGGAACAAGAGAGTCGGACTTGAATGAATCCACACGATCTGAACAATTGAATTAGTAAACAAACGAAATTTAAAATGGCCGCTCGAGCACGAAACTGAAAGTAGATAATTTAGGTTGTCGTTCTTTTTCGTATTCGCATTTCTACTTAGGTTCCGACAATTATGTCGGAAAACGCCGACGCCGGCAGGAAAACGAAAGTGCCGACGGGAGAAAAAGGGGTCGCTGGCAGTCGGCCAGGCCTCGCACTACGCACATTGACTGATACAGGTGGGCCTAGCGATAGCATCGGCCGGTTCGCGATTGTCGGATTTCAGACGATTGTCGGCAAACATGCAGGTCTATTTTAGCTTACTCAGGTATACAATGGAATCAGCTGCAGTGAAAGAGACTTTCGCAAAGGTACATGTTCCTGATGCAGGTGACATTAAATGTATAATTTCGAACATTCATGTCCAAATATCAGGAGTATTTTATATGTTGCATCTGCCTGATCTACACGCACAATACACATGGTGAGTCTATTCATAAAACTGATGCACGAAGACGAAAGTTGTTTTCCATGTCAAAAAGAAAGAGGTGTTAGAACGTACAATCTACAACAGTTTTAACACTGTGCTCTTTAATTAGAGTAGGACGGTTAAAAATATTTTGCATACCCTTACAATATGAAACAACCAAATTTTTATTGGTCTATCCAATCAATCATTTTAAACTTATCCAATCAATCATTTTAAACTAACTCGAATGACAAAATTTTTAGACATTACTATCCTGATAGTATGGCCAGAACTTCCCAACACCCAGAATATATTTTTAAAATTTGAGCATTTCAACAAGATGACACCCATACAAATTGCCTTTGATGGCTGCAAGACCAGGGGAGACGAGAGAAAGTTGAGAAAACTATCACAATCTACAGTAGTTGCCAGACATTTTATCCTCCACATGACACCAATAAGCTACATGTACTTTGGAATAACGGTGAAGCAAAAGTTAAAACCAACACCCCCCCCCCCCCCCAAAAAAAAAATAATAGGGAAAAAAATTCCACTTCTTGCAAATCAAACCTAAGAAAAACAACAAAACATTCAAATGTTCCTGGTGCAGGTGACATTTAATGTATAATTGCCAACATTAATGTCCAATAACCAGAACTATTTATGTAGCATCCAGCTGTCGGATCAACACGCACAATCATGTGTGGTGAGCCTTGACATAAACCAGAGATGCAATTTACCTTCAACCTTTACAGAGAGGAGAAACATTGGAGACTACCAAGTTTATACACAACCTCCCATTTATTCCCTCTCAAAACAACATAATTTGTATTTTTTTTTTTTTTTTTTTTTTTGAGTATTTGTTTTCATTTAGGTTGATTGTCATTCAGCTCGCATGTGAAAACTTACGGAAAAAAAGTAATCGAGTCACTACTTCTCACAAAATTCACAATCTTCAGTGAACAAATCTGCAGTTTACTGAAAATACTGGCAAGGACCTCAAAGAACAACCTATTTTCAGAACAGTACTGTAAAGTACTTTTCTACTAGAGGTAACACGCCGTCCCATAGGGAGATATTGATCTTACCAAAGCCCATGTCCTCATCAGACTCCTCAGACTCTTCCTTCTTCTCCTCCTTCTTCTTCTCCTCTGCAAATGTAACATAAAAAAATAAAATGCAATGAAACAAAACAGAACAATATACCACCACAAACTCCTTTCAAATGACATGGTGAATGAAACTAAAACATTGCACAAAATAATTGACAAGAAACAGCATCCACTACAAACCAACAATCCCAAAATATTCATGTTTCTGATGCAGGTGACATTTAATGTATAATTTGCCACATTAATGTCCAATAACCAGAACCTTTATGTAGCATCTAATTGTCTCATCAACACGCACAATGTTTGTGGTGAGCCTTGACATTACAATGATGCACTTAATAAAACTTTTACAGGGCAACATTTGAAATACACGTTACATTTGGTTACATGCACAGTATCAAATGGAAAAACATACCACAAACATGGTTTGAATCCACAGCTAGGTCTCAAAAGACAGACAAAACACAGTGATAAAATATTGTACCCCAGACCTCCAAGCGCCCACAAGTTATTAACCACTACAACATAAGTGGATATTAATGGCTGAAAAATAATAATAGCAGCATTTGCATAGTAAGAATTCCCGCTCAACAGCAAGCTCTCTATGCACTTTACAAACTATATTATTACCCCAGCAGACCCGATAGCATTCAGAAACAACTTCAACTTCCTGGGAAGCACAAGCTGCCACTTATAGGCACTAAAACACTCACATAATGACAAGACAACACCTCGTACCCCCTTTCCAGTAAAACAGAACCCTCAGAAGGGTCTGGACGGGAAGTTTTTTTTTGGGGGGGCAAGTGTTTTACTGCACTTGCAATTGCATAAGGTCATGTGAGTGTGCAGGACATTAAACATTTTCAGTCGATAGAAAATTTTGAAATGAATTTTAGATCACCAAGGGATCTTTAATGTGCGCAACTTTCACATGGGACCTCCCAAGATTTTTCGGCCCTGTCAGAGTGGCTAGGTGTAGATCTTTCCCACCAGAAGATCAGGGGCGTGGCTGAAAGACAGTAGCAAGAAAGAGCCAAGGAGTAGCAGCAGAAAGGCTGCAGAAAGTGGAGACAAAAGCAGACGACAGGACATTGCTTGAGAGCAGGAAAGGAGGTGAAGACAATTTTAGAAGAAAATTTCTCGGTTGCTACCCGATTCGAAACCGGGACCTTTGAACGAGAGGCCATCACCGCTCTTGGCCATGAGAGCCCCCACGGGAGTCTATTCCCAAATCCTGAGCAAGGGGAGGAAACCCACCTCCAGTGAATACAAGCATTTATTATTTTTTTAACCCACAAGTTTTAAAAATACTAAACAAATTCCAAAAATCTCAACAACAAAAAAGAGAAATGAATAGTTTCAGAAAGACGACTGGTTGGAGTGTGCAAGTTAGGGTGGAGCGTGTAGGGAAATTTCAGGGCGACCTAGTGTGTAATGTGTTAGACGACATTCATCTATCTCCCCCTGTAGGAAAGAAAGAGGAACCCACCAACAGGAGCGGCACCAGCAGCGGCAGGGGCAGCAGCACCACCACCTCCGGCAGCGGGCGCAGCACCAGCGGAGCTTCCCACGTTGGTGATCAGGTCCTTCACGTTCATGCCATCCAGAGCCTTGGAGAACAGACCTAGAGACAAAGAACATAATATGCTGTCACGGAAGAAGCTGCCCCCCCCCCCCCCCCCCCCCCGATAAAAAAAGACATTCCTTTGTCTTAGAACTACAACAAAGAATTTTAAGAAAGAACTACAGACACATGTACTTAAAACACTTCATAAGTTTTGAACACACACACACTGGGCAGAAATCAGTTTAATTTACTCTCAACTGTCATAGAACCTATAATTTTTTTTTACATAGAATCGGTGTAGTTTTTCTCTCTGTGATAACTTTCCAACTTAAAAGAGGAAGCAAAAAACCTGGCAATGGACTTTTAAGACCTATTTATTTTAAAGCAGCCACTCACATACTGTCAGGCCAGCTAGTCCAGTCTTTTATTGCTGAATGGGTTATTTGAAGTTAGTAATATGTAGGCAACTACACATATTTCATATATATGGGAGTTCCAGGGGGCCAGAACTGTTAGGGGTTGTTGGTCAGCCGGCCGGCCCTCAACGAACTCCTTCCTATCATTTATAGTGATTTGAATGTACAGCAACAAAGAAGTGTAGAGCGCCTGTCTGGCTAGAGACACAGATTCTCCACGTCTACAAACCTGCTGACTATACTTAGAATTAGAAAAGAACCGCCACTGACCCCGAAAGGCTAAAATAATTAGGGCATACACTGCATGCTCAGCTCAATATTTTGGCCCTACACACAGCGAGTGCTTGACATTGCTTTTCTACGCGTTGAAAAAAATCCAACACTTACCAGGCCAGTATGGCTCGACTGATACTCCAGCAGCTTTCAGGAGAGTGCTGATTTTTTCACTCTGTAAAAAAAGATAAGATCAATTAGGCCTACATCCTGGTGAAGAACAAAATTCAGACAATGTTCTATATTTTTTTAATGTAGTTAATTAAGAAGACTTCTGTTTGTTTTTATGTAGTCTAAGACAAGGCTACATGAAAGAGAAGAGGGAAAAGACAAAGGCGCAAGCGAAAGTGTAAGCATGCTCTCCAAAAGCCAGAGTAAAACCAGTGAGATCCAGAGGCATATATTGAAACATCTAGCCTATGGTTTTGGAAGAGAAAACTGTCATAATTGTTAACCATAGGCTACTGAATTAAAATGTATTTGAAAAAACAACAACCCCAAGACATTAAGTTGACTAATAAGCATTTGACCCAGTTTGGTGACTAAAAATCCAGTGTTTGTTGCAAGCTGTTGTCTCATAAAAATATTTCTTTCACTTTTAACTTGGGCATCGATGTAGAGCAGTATTATTGGATCAAGGAGGCAACACCTTTGCCACTGTACTGAGTGATTTCTTTATCGTACCATACGCAAAGCGCAGCAAGCGGCTTGTTCAATTTTCTAATGAACTTTTTCACGTCGCACACCCTCTGCTTCTTTCTCATTCCAGTTCTTTCTATTTTTGCATTCTGCATCAATTTCTCTTGAATTTCCGCTTTCAATGACAACTCAGCGTGCCATCGTTCCGATGCTCGATCGACACTGTCACTTCACAATAAACAATGTGAATCTAGCGCTAGGTTGGCACAGAACGGGGTATTTTTTTACTTTCCCTCCCTTAACTACCGGTTGTCCATTTTCTACTAAATATTGATGCACTGAACACGAATATCAACTTCATTTCCGTCGCAAATAAACAGCTTTCGAAATATTTGACTGTTCTTAAAATCGAGATAGACGTGCTTTGGACCAATCGGGGGGGTCTGCCCCCCCTGAGGTTAAAGAAAATCTGGGGGGTTACAGGGGGGGCATGCCCCCCCCCCCCCCTGTTTTAACCCATAATATGATTTTTAGTTACATTTGAAATTTTCTTGAAAATAATTGATTTGCGACAGTTTTAGTGGCTTTATTTGTGATCTGCAGCAAACAGTACTAGTACTGCAGTTTGCCCCCTGAAGCAGTGCATCTGTGTGCGGGAGTGAAAGTAAAAATTTACCCAGAACCAGTGCTTCCACCAGCTGAAGCCGAAAAGTAAGGAAAATAGCAGGGTCCAGGGACAGCGTCCGGTGGGGGTTCAGGGGGCGAGGCCCCCGAAGAAATTGAAATTTAGTGCTTATAGATGGTAGAAAATGGCATTTGGGAGCCTGTTTGAAGATATTGCCTACAGCCCATAACATATATTTTTTCACCAACATTTTGTCTTGTTTGACTTCATCACCAACATATATCTTTCCAATGCTGGAAATGTTTAAAAACAGGTTCCCCTTTCATTGCTACTATAATTCAATTAATTTGTAGTCGCACCATTGGTGGTAGCAGGCAAACCTGGGAATAATGAATAGATGTACCTTCAAAATACGGTTGCGCAGAGTATACCCACATTTTTTCTAAATTTTAATGTCTGAATGTTGCCTGTCATAACCTCGGAACACCACTTCGAATTATTCTTGATTTTATACAGGGTGCTCACTACAGACGGAATCGGCCGATCGCCTCAAAAACAAACGTGTTTGTTTTCAGTTTCAAAGCAAACACGGTTGTTCGACCGAGTCGGGCGATCAGCGCAATCGGCCGATCCCATCTGTGGTGGGCACGCCCGTATCAGCATATTATATTTTTTTCATCGCGGCCCTTATATTGCGTTCACGTGCCATAGAATCTTCGCATTGATATTTATCTAGCTCTAGATAAAATTTGCGAAAGGCCACCTCTATTCTCACCCGGGATGAGAATAGTGCAGGCTAGTCTTTTGGCTATTCTCACCCGGTGCGCATTCACTGTTATAGCCTAGATCTAGGCCAACAAATTTTGCGTTCACCCTAAACCACAGAATTCTACACTGTGATAACAGAAAAATTGTAGAATTCTGTGCCGTGAACAAACGTTCCATTACAACTGTAGCCTACTAAAAGCGTACAATTTTGTATGTGGGCAGTGGAGAGAGAGAGAGAGAAAGAGACAGAGAAAGGAGTAGCGTGAGAACTTCCGGTCAAAACAAAATGGCGACCCGCGTAGTTCTGCTCGATTCGAAAAGTTAAATTGAAGTGACTATTTCTCCGAACGTTCGGAGAAATAGTGCCGATCTTTATTTCTCCGAACGGTTTCCGGCTTCCGGTCTCGTGATTTTTTGTCTATTTATTGCGAGAGTTCGGCGCCAACTTTCATTCTGCCTCTGGCCTCTGGTCTGGGAAGGAACACCGCATGGCAAGCCCGCCTACAGACAACCTTCAGTAACACCCACCACCATCATGCACATCATGTACACACACTAACTAAACATGACCAGTGGGCAACTTTTGAACGTATGACGAGCTGAGCTGTGGACGGAGAGACAGTGTGAGTGAAAGAGCGGGTGAAAGGAAGAATGTGCGAGTGTATCCACAGGCGACAGCAACTACAAGACAAGACGACGACACCGACCCCCTGGCCTGGTCCACAACTCACGAAAGAAAGGAATGCAGCTCAGGCAGTGTTTTGCCTATATTATTGTCCATGGTTCGCAGGGTGCAAAGGAAAGAATGATATTTTCTTTGTGTGTGCCTGGAGGGAGGGGGTGGGGTATGAAGAAAGTCATGCGGACAGGGATGAGCCGCGGGAGAGAACACGGGAATTGAGCCTGAATTGAATGAATGAGGGAAACTGAAAGAGACGAACGACTCATGAGCCCTGGAGTGAATGGATCCTGTGTTTCTATTTTTGTATACTTTGAACTGTTACTGAATACAGGCTGAGTACATTGGTCGCAGCAGTGACAAACGCAGATGCCAGTTCTATGTGTCGTTATCAATAACCCTCCGTAGATCTAGATCTAGATCTAGACAGCACACGAGTGAACACAACACATTACGTTTAAGAGCAGCACCCTTCATAGGCAACACGCCATATCTGTAGCGAAAAACTGTTTGGAATTGTAGCATTTCTTTATATAAATATTTACTGCGGACATTTTTTGGACCGCTTGAACCATATTGTATACGAACAATCTTTGGTAAGCTTATACTATAATTATAGATCTATATAATATCCGAAATTTGCGAGAAAGGATGTGATTTCAGAGTGTTCGGAGAAATAGTGCCCAGCTTTATTTTCCCGAACGTTCGGAGAAATAGTGCCGGCCACTACCGTAGCATCTTTGTAGACAACCAAATTAATTTACTTTTGTGTTTTAACATCATTTTTTAACTTTGTTTTGGTCAATTTGATCGTCCACACCGATAGACAGTATTCAGAAAGAGACAGAGAGAGAGAGAGAGAGGGGAGGAGTAGACCTTGCGAGAACTTCTGGGCAAAACAAAATGGCGACCCGCGTAGTTCGGCTCGATTCGAACAGTGAAATAGCCATAGCATCTTTGAAGACGATCAAATTAGCTTACTTTTGTGCTATAACGTAATTTTTTCTTGGCTTTTATCAATTTGATCATCCACACCGATAGACAGTATTCCAAAATGAGGAAAAGCAGGTCTTGTTTCGCACCGGGTGAGAATAGCCTAAGCTGGCAAGTCTCACCCGGGGTGAGAGGTAGATCGTTTTTCTATTCTCACCCCGGATGAGAATAGCCACTTCCTTTGCGAAAAAAGTTTCTTTCCGACAGTAATTTTCTGTCTGAGATCAAAATCAGTCTTGATCAACGCGCAGATTTTCCAGCCGCGGCAACAATCCGAAGATAAAAGGAATGAATGAATGATAGAAAGGAGGAAGTTGGCACAAAAGGTTCGTCAGATTTTGATCCATCTGCAGGTAAAAAATGTACTGCCGACCAACACGCAATAAATGCATGGGACTGGGATATAGCGGTATAATGTTCGATTGCAGGAAATGCGCAATTTGGCAGGTTTCTATAACGTTAACTTGTTGCCAAGAGAATTACCGTAAATATCCGTAACTTATACAAGACCATACGAAGGTGAGTACGGAATTTCGGCAGTCCTGCACTATCGGTTTTTTTACGGAGGGAGTTGATAATGATGGATGAACAAGTACGGAACCGGCAGAAAGTACGGAAGAGTGGAAGCACTGCAGAACGGAAGTAGAAAGTTACATGCGCAAGCCTCTTTTCGCCTCTCTCCCGGTTCAGTGTTTTCCGCGTGTAAAAAAAGTAGCCTATCGTAATTTGCTACCAACAGTGGTCCAGCGGAGGAAGGAGGAAGTAGCGGGAAAAGCTAGATCTAGATGAAGCGGAGTCTGCTATTTAGCGGTAAAGTGGCAGCTATCACTTTACTCAAATGAAAATGAGAACGCGAAGGAGAGAGAGAGATGGGGGGGGGGGGGGGAGAACTATGTCTGTCTAGACCTTGGCCATAGATCTAGAAGAACCAAGGTCTACCCCGAGCAGCCAAGAGGGGGCTGAAACTCCGAAATCACAAAATATTACCCCTACCGGGTCGGTATATAATATACAATCCTAATTGCCAAACGCTTGCCAAAACATCAAATCATGGTGAAATGCAGGGGGCATACCCCCCCCCCCCTAAAACCCCCAATCCCTGCATGATTATTCCAAGCACGTTCATTGGTCACTCGAAATAGGGCAATGGCAGGCACACAGGAAGACTTCCGTAACGAACGAGCACCCCATCAAACAAAAAAGAAGAGGCCTAACCCGATCCCTCAATTCTGCTGTCTCAGAGTGGTCGCTCGTTACGAAGTCCTCCCGGCACACACATCCGGTTGTTCTGTTCCCCTGTAACATCGCAATGGCAATGGGGATACTCTGAGGCGAACTTATCCGGTTGTTCTCTCTGCCGACCTCGCTCTACATGCCGTTACATGCAATTTTATCCGAACCAATATTGATTGATATCTAAGAAGCCCGTAAGTTTTATTATTTTTGTTGCAATTCTTATAGGGTCTACCCTTCTTTTTCTTCTACATGATTATCAAGATCTCTAGATCTAGATCTAGATTTAGTCAAATTGATCAGCCTGCGCCACCCCCAAACCCCCCCCCCCCCCACTCCCACTGCCCCACCCTCTCCCGCCATAGAGTATAGAGTCACAGGCCCAGGCAAAATCATTCAAATCAAATGTTAGCACGAAACAAGCTTGTTGATTGAAAATCTTGATTCAGTATCCCCCCCCCCCCCCAGAAGGGTTACAAGCAGGCCTTTATTCATGACCAATAACTATAGCCTATCCAGGAACATGAACCTGAGAGTTTTATTGAAGACCAGTGGACAACGTAGGCCTATGCCTAGATCTATATCAGTCATGTGTGCAATACAGTAAGTCTAAGAAGGGTCTACTTACGGTGATGGCAACTTGATCATCAGCCAAGATCAAGGCAGCATATACGCATGCAAGTTCGTCGTTACCGGCCATGTCGTCAAATTAAGTTGAAAACTTAGAGGATGGTGTAAAATAGCAGTGCACGTCGCCGATTTGGCCTTAGCTCGGTTGAGAACAGTACACTTTCACAACAGTGATGCCATGAAAAGGAAGTGGTCAATGTAGCTTGCCAGTACAAGGACTCTACAACCGCCAAAATTTTATTTTTTTAAATGTTAAAATACCGGAATATCAGAAGACTTTTTCTTTCACTCCGTGTACTGAATTATGAAATTAAACAACATGGGTGTTACTTAACCTTTCAAATAGTAGTACATTAAAACTTGACAAAATAAATAGTATTCAACTCTAAATCAGACAATTTTCTTGGTACATGCCAACTCACTCATTCAACTTTTGGACCATTACTCGACAAATCCCATTAGGCATACTTTACAGCTACCTTCTTCGCTTCCTGTAGGCTAAATGAGCCATTCCTCGTGGTTTTCCAGTTTCCTATTTTTCTTTGCATTCTCGATCCCCTTTCCAAAATTTCCAACGTTCAGAGGCAGTGTCGAGAGTGTGATTACAAAACTAACCTTCTCAAATTAGATCTAAGTCTTTAAGACACAAACAGCTCCTTCCCGACCCCCTCCAACAACGGATTGCATTGGATTCTTCGACTCTGAAATCAATATAAAACCAGATGAAAATTGTTGGCCGAACGCCTTTTATTTCGACACTTTTAAACTCATTAGCCAACATTTTTAAAATCTAATAAGTAGATCATTGAATTTACATGTGGATCTAGGCCTATTGTGCAATCTAATAGTGATTTCCCTTCCTGTGGAAAGAAATGGGCGAAATTAGAAGGTAGAGGGTAGGCGACTACATAATTGATTGTGAAGTGAGTGTAGAAAAAGATTAAGTTATTAAAATGCCCTTTTACCATTTTCTATGACAAAACAGTGTTCATTTCTTGTACAGGCCTAATTGTCTTATCCCCAACTATGCATTTTTTTATTTCAAGTAAGGAAGGAATTGTTAATTTTTAATCACAAGAACCTCGCTCCGTTATTACTATTACATAAACAATATAAATATAGGCACCCCCCCCCCCCTTCTATCTGTCTCTTTGGTTTATTCTCTCTCTCTCTCTCTCTCTCTCTCTCTCTCTCTCTCTCTCTCTCTCCCTCCCTCTCTCTCCCTCTCTCTCTCTCTCTTCTTTTTTTGTGCTCTACACCCCACCCCCCACCCTTCTCTCTCTCTCTCTCTCTCTCTCTCTCTCTCTCTCTCTCTCTCTCTCTCTGTCTGTCTGTCTTTCATTCGCTCACCCTTCCTCTCACCTCACTCTCAACGTTTGCGAAACCTCTCACTCTCACCTTATTTGGGCCTGAAGTCTATTAATAGGGTAGTGTACGTATAAGCATGAGGTTTCAGCAGCTTTTTACTTTTAACTTAAAATTTCTCTTTCTGTTTTAGCCAAAAATGCTGAGTCCTCGTCTTTCAAAGTTATTAAAAATTTGTAATTTTTGTTCATTCTTTTTATTTTTGTTCATTTGTTTCGTTTTCTTTTGTTTGAGTAAAGAGAATAGAAGCACATCGAGACAATATATAGCTGCCATAAGTGCGGGGGAAAAGTAAGAGAAACAGAAATAAAAGAGGGGGGGTGGATGAGAACCCACCAATGGCACCCTCCAACCACCTGTATAGGTTGACGGTCGTACTGAAGTGTACAACGACTCAGAAAGACAGTTGAGAATTTCAACACCACAACATAATATACCATGTATTGTGTTACCTTACATTAACTTTTTGTTGGTCTTTAATTATTTTTTGTTAAGAATTTGTTTTTATTTTAAATTTCCTAAAGCACATATTATTATGTTGGCCATTATCCGGCGTAATTTGGGGAAATTATATGAATGAGAGGCTGGGCGTGACACTGGAAACTTTTTGCAACTTCCTCTCCTTAATTAAACCAATACTGGGCAATAGGCTACCTGGGTTATAATTAATATTATAGGGTATAAAGACTTTGCGGACGGTAAAAGGATATAGGGTAAATCAGGCGCACCGTCCCCAACTACTATGGGAAAGATGAAACAAAAAGGGGAGAGGGGGCACTAGGCCAAACGAAAATAACAAACAATCTAACATTTTGTGCACAGAGAGGAGAAAGCTTGTGATTTTCAAACATAAATTATACATATACTTGTGCTAGGACCTTACACCAATAAATGGACTCCTCTCTCTCTCTCTCTCTCTCTCTCTCTCTCTC